AGGCAGTTTATAGATATAGTCTTCCTGGACACTAAGCTTTTGATCTTTCTGGGCCTTTTGGTTGTCCTTTGGTTATGTCTATTTCAGTTAAAAATTTGCATCTACAGTGTGTGTTTTCCTGAGGGTTTGGGAAATACTTGTTTTCGACAGTAAAACACTATGTACATCAAAATAATACAGAAATATGGAGAATGTGAACAAAGGACATGGAAAAAGTGGAGGCACTGAATCTCTTATTTGCCACTTTGTCTTAACTTGCAATCCCAGATCCCTGAGACAAGTGGGGAAGTCTGGAGCAAGACAAATGTGCCTTCAGTAAAGGGGGATCAGGTTAGAGAGCATTTAAAAGAATTGGGTGGACACAAGTCAATGGGGCATGTTGGGATGCACCCAAGAGTGCTGAGAGAACTTGCTGATGTCATTACAAGATCACTGCCAATAGTCTTTGAAACATCTTGGAGATTAGAGGAGATTCCTAAAGCAATGAAGAAAATTACTTTCATTCCAATCTTCAAGAGAAGCAAGAAGAAGGTTTCAGAGAACTACAGTCTGGTCAGAACTACTGAATATGATCATCATAGAAGGTGATGGAGCCAATAATCCTGGAAATAATTTCTAAACTATGACAGACAAAAGGTGACCGGGAGGAGGTAGCATGGATTTATGAAAAGCAAGTCATGCTTCCTCATAACATAACACCCTCCAACGTAAAATACTGCTGAAAATTCTAATACTTTTGACTCATCATTTCAGCTTTGTTTCCTATTTCTTTATTTCCATCTTATAGGTCACAATGTAATTTTTAGTTCTAGACTTAATTTGAGCCCTTATCACTGAGCAGAAGTTCTCAAGCATGCTTTTCCCACAACAGCTCACTGTTAAGCTGTATAGTCTCTGTGCTCTTTTAATTTAAAAGTTTATTTTGGGGTCAGTTTATAATCCATAAGGAATTTTGAATATTGACAGTGTTTCAAAAAGGTTCTGAAACATCTCTTGTAAAGCCATCAAACCCATAATTTGTGTCCTTATGGTCTGTTAGTAACATTTTCAATTAAATGTCTCTATGCTTTCTATTCGTGATAAGTAATTTAACTTCGGAGAAGCTCTGTGATCTCCTTTTATAGTCTTAGTGGAGATTCCGCTATATGTTGTTGCATGTAGTTACATACATGGTGCGTTGTGGTGTTTACCATTTGGAGTACCAGAATTGCCTTGGTTTAATATTGGTCTTTCCCTGTTGTCTTTTGTCATTTTGTAGTATGAAGGAATTGCATGATTGAGATTTTTCTTAGCATTTTGTGCTGCATATCAGCTGACCTGTCTGAAATATTCTGTCTGGATATATATCATTATACCAATACAACCTGAAATAAACAAAGTGTCAAGGGTATCAGGAATTACAGAGGAATTGAGTTATCACTCCACCACGTTGAGAGGGAAATAGCTACTTTGCTGTCTGCATCCTGACAGGAATAGTGGCTTCTTCTTGAAGTGAAGCTTAAGGTGCTAAAGGAAAACCTGGGACCATTAGGATCTGCTGCCACCAAAACTGCTAAAAAAGCTGTAATTAAGTGATTTATAAAAGACTGATGCCACACCTTTGAGCAAAGAGATGTGGAAGGAGAGGCCACTTTTTGCATCATACAACATGGAACAAGAATGGCAAAACATACCTGCCAGAGAGCTTAAGGGGAATGCAGTGTGAAACACTCCTGCTGTTTCATGTCTGTTCCGTAGGAGATTTAAAAAAAATGGGAAATACTTCAAAGCATTTTGGCCTGTTTAGATCTGCAGAGTTAACAGTGTGAGCCGTTTTTGGTTCACTACCTTGAGGAACGATGAAGTTACATGTTCTTTATCTACAGAAGATCACAATGAGGATGCTTTGGTAGTAAAGTGTACACTGAAGTCACAAATAAAGAAGGAAGAAATAGCTAAAGGAGTGTAAGCCTGTGGGGGTAAGGTCAAGGTCGTTATCTATGAATGCAGTCCCCCTGCTGTGTGTCAAATAGGAGATTAGTACAATTTACTAGGGCTTGGCATTCCCTCACTAACATCAGGCACTAAAATGGGCATACTTCTGTCACAGGGCATCATCATAAAGGGATGTTGTACAGCCTCCCAGTTGAGATCATAATGTTGTCTGCTCAGATTTGGCACTGTGAGACAAGTCTTTCCTAACAATAGGGAACTATTTTCTGCCCTCTTTTTATTTATTTTGAGTGCTAAGGTCAGAAGCAGATGACTTTACTTGCAAGTTTATTTCAATATGCCTGTTTTCACAATTAAAACCTTGAAAAAGACTCATAGTATAAGTGCCCTGATTTGCAGTTTTTATAAGTAAAATGGTGCCTGAAAAAAAAAAAAAAAAGAAGAAATGCAGCTATATGCACAATATTTTCTTTTTGGTGTGCTTTGGTACTATAAAACTAATAAAAACTAATAAAGCTCTTAACTTTTATCAGATAAAATAATTCGTATGTAATAAAACATCTTTTTATGACATATTTTAGATTTTCTTAGGATAATATTTGGCTTATTTTGCAACAAAGCAGTAGTAAATGGGGAGGGGAGGAGCAAGATGGTTTTGTTTGAAAATATGTAGGTTAAAAGAAGTGGCCAGCTATATGCTTGACTTGTTACTGAAATGCTGGAAGAAATGTTACTAAGTGTGGATTTACATCATCTTTCCTCTATACACAGAAAAAGCCCAAGGAAATATCATTTGTCATAAGACCTACACTGCATAATCTAAAATGCCACTTTAATGCTGAGAGCAAAAGGATTAAAAAAACCCACCAAACAAAAAGCACACAAAACCCCCAAGAGCCTAAAGAAAGTGGTGAACAATTCAAATGAAATCAGTTTTTTACTGAAATGAAAGAAGGGTGAGGAGGAAAAAAAATCTTCATTTAATAATTACAGTTTGAAGAAGGAAAAACCTAATAGTGCATAGACAGAGAAGACTGAACACATTAATGTACTGTTTATATTTTGTTCCTTATCTCTACAGAAAGTTATGACTATTTATAAAATCTGACACTGGAATAATAAAAATATAGTCAGTGTCTTTCTTTGCCTGCAGATCAGGATCTCATATCTTTGTCCAAGACTGCAAAAACAGAGCTTTGCACCAGCGACTCCCACAACATGGAGGAAGGGAGAGTAGCCTCAACTCTCTCTGAAATCAAGGATCTCACATAATAATGTCTGTTGGCATCCCTGCAGTGGTTTCAGAGCTGAGGTGATGAGTGACATGTTTTTCTGGGAGCCCAGAACAGCCACAGACTCTGTGAGCCGGAAGCTGGATCTCAGACAACTCCTTGAGATGGCAAAAATAAAGCCCCTGCTTAGTAGGATTGATGGACTTTGTGCTAAGACTCACATTGTCCTGCTTCCCATGATGCAGAACACTGTGTATTGGACTTCTGCAGACATAAAGAGAGAAAAAGATCGAACTTTCTCAAGGCTGGTTTAGACTAGAGAGAGGCAGCCACAGTGGTTCCATTTATCTCAAAGGAACAGGTGGGGTATTCCTTGAAGTCTTTTATTTCAGATGTTGCATACTTTTCTGTGAGAGCCAAATGCAAATATTTAGTGAATCAGAGCTGAACACATAGCTTTAGAGTGAAAAAACAGATCAAGCTCTCTATGGTTTCTTACCTGTACTGAAAAAAAACCCAAAATAATCAAACCCTGCCCAGAGGTTTAGTTGATATTCCCATTGGATAGATAATGTGGACTGCTCTTGTTATGAACTATCTGCAGGCTTTTCAGGAAGAGAAGGTCAAGCATTTTCAAACCAGACAACACAGAGTTGAAACTGGACAGTGGTGCTCACTGAAACTTCATGTGTTTCAGAACAATGAAATAGAGCTCACAGAGTGAAACCAAGTTGTTTTACATTTTAAAGAAAAAGCAGATGTAGGTATGGAGGCAAAATAAGTGAACTCCAGTGTCAGTCAGACTGAGGCTGGAGCATGTGTATGTATAGTACAGGGCTTTTCTGGCCATCCATGGCATCAGCTCTTCAGAATATGCCTCTGGTGGACCTCACTTTAGCTATTACTCAAATCCATAATAGTTTAGGACTTGCTAGCTGAAGGGCTGTTTTTCTCCATGTGTGGACTTCTCTATTATTCGTGACTCATAAATCCATAATTGTATAGGGCATGCTGGCTGAGGGGCTGTTTTTTTCCATGTTGTGTTTTCCCTTTGCAGGCACTAGAGCTATTTCCAACCAATACACCCTTGTTTTTTAAGGAAGGAAATTGGTGGCAGGCTGCTCAGAATTGTGCTGTAGCCCACTTGAATTTTAATATTTCAGTGTCTTCTAACTCAGAACTGCAAGGAATCATTGAAATTCAGAGTTCACTTTCCAACCCTTGGCCTGAAATAGTTAATTCCCTAAACTACAGCTCATATTGCAAAGCTGATTTACAGGATTGTTGCTTTGAGAATGTGCTTTGAGCATGGAGGGACTTCTGCTTTTGTAAGAAATTTTGAGGTTTCACTGTTTTGTTGCTTCTTTTTATGGCAGAGCTGTTAAGAGACTAGAATAGTTATCTTTTTTAGTATTAACATGAAATATACATATATGTGCATATATATATATATAAAACTAAACAGAGGGTTAGTGTCAGTACTGAGCATTAGAAGCTGTGGAAGGTACAGCACTTTTCCACTCTCCCTAAGGTGTTTTACTGCTTCTTAAAACAGGATATAGAAAACCTTTAATTAACCAGTAAAATATATGGAGTCAGATTACTAATCAAATGCTCATTTGGGACTAAGTCCCAGTCCTGCTGAAGCCACTGGGAAAAGGATGCGGAGAACCTTTCAGGACTGGGCCTCTTTTTCCAGAGAACTGGAAAGATGTATCTGAGATTCACCTGTACAGGAAGTTGTAGCATGACAAGACGAGGATATCACCCTTCAGAAGGGCTGTCTTGGATGGAAACAGCCACTGCTCTGATGATAGCTTCCCCTCGTTCTTCCAGGTGTGTCTGCTCAGCTGACCAGCACTCGTCTCCGTCGGAACACCTCCGTGGGCACCCCGTTCTGGATGGCTCCAGAGGTCAGGTTTCAAAGCATTTTGTTACTGGTACTCAAGCTGCTGTATTCTGCATTTCTGCTCTTTGTCTTTCTTCCTGGTCCTTTCACCAAATGAAATAGCAATGTCCTTTAAAAAAAGTGTTTTAAACCTTTCTGTCTTACATGTTTGAAAGAATTAGGTTAAAATGAGGTTTGTTTTTGAAATTACAAGGTTAGAGACAGGGAGCAAGAGTCTGAAAGGCGTACTAAAATGTTGAAGAACAGAGTACTACTACTGATACTTTCCAGCTTTTCAAGCTCTGAAACTATAGATATCTCCCCATGGATGGAAAGAGCCCAGGATGGTACTGTGATACATTATAGCTTCTATTTTTTGACTTCCCCACCTGGAATGCTTTTAATACTATATATCCATACTTGCTTCAGCAAGAAATGGAAAAGGTTATTATGAATGTAGAACATGCATTATGATTCTGTGGAGGTTTTTCCTAACTGAAATTGAAGCATATAAAGATACATTTTAAGCTGAGACAGGAGAAATATTTCCTTATAAATAAGCTTATCTACTTAGAGTATTTGTGTACACACAAACACATGCAAGTACATCTGTTTATAGTACATGAAACTACTCTGTTTATGCATATTTATTTTTATCTGCACACTCTGTTCATACACATAGGTCTAGCTATATAACTAGTGGAATACATGTTGGTTTAGCTCTGCAGCTAATGGGATGAAAACTTCTAGATTCATCCAGCATTATGGATGAGCTGAAATGTATTTGAAGGTAAATACTTTGCTGTGATCTAATGAACTTTGTCCAGATCCACTTGATCTGGAAATTGGCTGATTTGGTTGAATAAGGACCCGATAAGAGATAGTAAATCCAGCTTCTGCTTTCCTGATTATTTCACTTCATAGAGAGAGAAGTATACTTACAATAATTACTTAGCAAGACTAATCCACATAAAGAATTGTAGAGTTCCTGAGTTTCCTTTTACTCCCTCTGTTGTGGGATGCAATTTATTCAACTGAAAAAGCCATGGATTTGTACCCTTTCTCCAAATCAGAGAACATCTGCCCAGAGAATGTGGTGTTCATGGACACCTGCTTTCCCTAATTTAAATACTGCGGGGATTTTGGCAATGGGATGGATGCTTTAGCTTTCTAAATGTGTGCATATCTGTTTATACCACTGAGTATTCTGTAAGCGATTCCTCCAACTGTGGGTGTGCTCTTAAATGTGTGCATTTAACCATCCCTGTCTTTTACTCCAACAGGTGATTGCCTGTGAGCAGCAGCTAGATAGCTCCTATGATGCTAGATGTGATGCATGGTCACTGGGTATTACTGCAATAGAGCTGGGAGATGGTGATCCACCCCTTGCTGATTTGCACCCCATGAGGGCACTCTTCAAAATACCAAGGTAGTAGCTTTATGTCTTTGTTTGTTGATGGGTTAAAGACTGAACTTTTTCCTTAAAGTTTGCTTTCCAAAAGTTTTTGCTTCCCAAAAGTTTGCTTTCTTCAAACTTAGACTTTTCTTTATAATATTTATACTAGGAGGTAGGTTTAAAATACTTTGCCCAGTTGTATTTTCTGCAGGCTCTGCTTTAACCATGTGTGCACATTGAAAAGTTCAGAGCTGACTGTAGCTACATTTGAGAAAAAGTCAAAGGGCCTTCTCCCGAGTGAGCTGCTGCCACATGAACACAGAACTTACTTGAGTCTCGTACATTCTGTTACAAAGAGTGACGTATACTAGAAATATAGAGTCATATTCATGCCACTGTGGTGACCAGGTCCCATATTTGTCTACAGGAGTTATCTTCTATCCTTTGAAGCAAAGGTTGTTCCCCCACTCACATACATTTAGGCTTCAGATTTTCATTATCTTGTGCTGCTTCTGGCAGTTCCAGTGTTGCTGTCCTTGGTCAGTGCAAATAGCAACTTATTTTGTGTTTTTTGCTTTGAAGCTGAAAATATAAGTACCCAAAGTGCCACTTACAGCATTTCAAAGAACATCAATCTCCTAGTCTGTAGTAGTAGAACATCAATCTCCAAGTCTGATCATACAGTTGTGGTTGTGGATTTCATCCTAAGAACTGGAGCAGTACCACAATAGCTGAGCCCCACATAGCATATATAAGTTTTCAGCCAAGACACCCAAATTAATTTAAATTACCTTTAGGTTTAAGAAATCTTGTCTGACTTGGCACTGAAGCAGAGTATGAATGGTCTTCCTACCTTTGCTTGCTATGGAAAAAGCAGTTGCAAACTATTTTGGTCAGTCACTGCAGCTAGGACTTCAAAAAACCTTTTGCTTATACTCTTAACAAGTACTGGGCACCTTTCTGCTCTGGAGCAAATATGCAATCAATACCCTTTCATTCCGTTAAGTAAAACCTGAGAGTAATAGAGTAAACATTAAGCAGCATTTGAAGAAAAGCAGTTATGGTTGATTGAAAAGAGACAGTAAGTCACCTTGTCTCTTGGCTGGTCGTTCCTTTTGTCTTCATGAACATACTCAGTGAAAATGACGTCTTTGAATAGAAGAAGTCTGTCAAGACTGTTTCAACTAAATTAGCACCTAAACAGCTCTACAATAGACAAGAAAGCAGTATATCCATTTACAATAGATTTATATTTAAACCTTCACTTCTGCTTGTCTTCTGAGGAATGAGGAATAATTAATAAAGAACCAATTCTTTTGGACACTTTGTTCAGCAAGTTGATGAATTCAGTCCTTCTGAGAAAACTTAAAATATAATTGCTTTTTAAAATTTCTTCTAAGTATATTGTTTCAAAGTTGAAAAAAGGAACTTGCCATTACAAATGAATAGTGATTAATGGATTGTTAGTTTAGTTTCTTTTTATTTATTTGATTGAAAAAAATCACAGTGATTCTTAGCTACACTTGGTAGATCATCTTAATGCTATTTCTCCTTATTAGTTATGTAAAGGAGGAGAACCAATGAGGCATTGCATCATCTACCTATGCTCCTTTTACCAGTGGAAATCAATATCTTTTTTCGGTGACATTCTAAAACTCATTACTCAGCCTGCCTTCACACATTGTTTTTGTCAATTGAGTAGCTTATTAACTTATCACTACACTGACCTTTGCAGGAATCCTCCTCCAACGCTACAGCAGCCTGAACTGTGGTCACCTGAATTCAATGACTTCATTAACAAGTGAGTAACAATTGAGACCACTCCAGTTGAATATGGAATGTGTGTAAATGTCATGTGTAAAATATGTTTTGTAGAAATCTGTTGCAACTAATACTCTCCCTTAAAAGGCTAGTTAGTAAATCCAGTTTGACTTTCAAGTGAGGCTCTGTACTAAAACATGAAATAGCATTTCAACACCCTTGAGATTTTTTAAGTTAAAGAATATTTAGTTTTAAAATGCAATAATTTAAATTTTTGGACTCATCAGTTCTGTGAAGTCATATCAGTTTTCAGTGCAAAGCTGTTTTGATTAAGACAGATACATTTATTATGGAGGCATGAATGAGCTCCAGACAAGCATTTCAAAACTTAACTGTGAACCCTCAATGATCATATGTTTTTTTCTGCCAGCACAGGTGCTTGACTAAAGATTATGAGAAGCGTCCAACAGTATCTACTCTTTTGCAGCATGATTTTATTAAGCAAATTGAAGGAAAAGAAAACGTGCTACAAAGGCAACTCATGGAATTTATTGATGTTCATCAACAAATGGGAGTCACTGAAAAGGCAAGGTAAAAGTAGCTAAAGAGTGGACCAGTTGGGTCAATTTTGATACTTCCCCTGTTTCAGAATGGCTAGAACTCAGAAAAAGATTCAACCCTTATAACTTTAGATGGCAAAAAAACCAGAAAGCTTAATATTTGTACTGTATTGCCAGTTGAAAGAGAGAGGCATCATGATTCACACATGGGATGAAACAATCTTTAGGAGTGCCTCACATCTCATCCATGTCTCAAGATATAGTCTTAGACCCCAGCTTTTCGGAAGATAAGGTTAGATGAAATTAATATTTGGCATTTTCATATATTTGCATGGTCAGCTAATGTTTAGTTTGAGCAAGTATGCTAAAACCAGCTAGTCAGGTTCCTGCAGGAATCAGATGTTTCTGACTGAGATTACTGATAATCCTAGCAGACTGTGTTTTGCAAACATCAAATCTTTTGTCTTCTTGAATGGAAACTTTCTTTCTTCCACTAGCATCTAAGTGATATCAATTCTGAATAAATCCCTTGACACCTGATGGCTTTTATTTAAAATACTTTAAAATGTCTTGACTCACTTTTACAATTGAAAAAGCTCAATATAGTATACTCATGTATCAGATGTAAATGTTGTAGAGTAGTATTGAGGTACTACTGGTATGACTGCTCCTGCTTCAAGGAAAGGCACAGTGCTTTTACTTTTTTTTTTTTTTTAAATAGAACATGACAATTAAAAGACATTTTAGCATTATCATCTATGTAGAAAAAGCTTGTTAAAATCTGCCACATTTCCTTTCACACCTTCAGAGTAACAATATATACAGCAGTCTTCAGTTCTAGTTCTGGAGAAATTTCTGTTTACTCTATGCTTTGAAGATAATAATAAAAATATATTTCTAAATAATTATGATATTGAAATTTTTTCAACTTTAATTGGATATGGGAGGAATAATGCTTTCTCTTTTCTGACATTGCAGTATAAAACTATGCATTTGGCTTACATTTAAGCTTCAAGCTGGATTTCTATGCTCTATATATTGCAAACATGACATTTGCTTAATTCAGAAAGATTCTTGAACTCAAATAAGCTTATTGGATGTCTGTGCTGAGCACTAAACCAGCAACATAATTCAGATGTTAAATAGCATTTATTTATAAAACACAGGGAAATGATATGTGGTAAACTAAGTCCAAACCACGAGGTTATATGAATTGAAATATTGTTAGCACTTGTGATATTAGTCCTTTTAAAGCCTAAACAATTTTGAAAAAAAAAATCAAACTTCCACTCAATCAGATATTGTGATTTTTTTAACCAATTTTAGAGAACTCACATTTGTTTTCATATTCTTTTTTTTCCCAAATCCTCTATTTTTTTAATGTAAATGCTTCATAAAGGAAACTACATGAACTTTTTTATTTTCTGTACAATAGAAACATAAAGAAGGTGGCCCAATTTACATGTGTACAGAGCAGTCAAGTGGCACAAGAACAGGATGATCTACTGGTATTTTCTCTGTCCTGTCTAAACTGTGTTTTATAAACTGATGGGTCTTCATTAGAATTTAAGGGAATATATCTTAATCTAATTAGATTAAGAGTTATATGATGAAGTTACTTATGCTTTTCTAGTTGATCAAGTGTAACTTTTATATCAAATTTTCCAAAGGAAAACAGAATTTTCTCTTTCAAAATAATAATAAAAAACCCCATAGTTTCTTATTTGAATCTGTGCAAAATTTAGTTATTTAATTCAGAGTGTAATTTAAATGGTAGTGTTAAACTGAGCACAGCCCATATTTCAGTTTAGCAGTTTAAAATACTAGGAAGTAGTATTTCTAACCCAAATGAATTTGTGATTGTGTAGTTTTGTGAAATACGCTGTAAGACTGACTACAGAACAGCATTTGTGGGTTTTTTTCTGCTGTCAATGATAAGAGATTATGCAAATATCTTTAAATTCAGTAGTCATGCTTTTTTAAAAGTCTTTTATTACTAATCATATGTATCTTCTGACCTTTAATCTGCACAAAGCAAAAGGTGTTAAAAGCAATGTCTGTACAGAAGTACCATGTAAATCTGATTTAGACTCAAGACATAAGTGTTATAGTGACAAGTCCCCTGGAAGAGCTGCTCTGTTCTTGTTTATGCTATTCTAGCACTGTCTTACACTGATGTGTTAGGGGTCCTACTGTGACATTTCTGAACTTTCAGTGGTTGCTGGCAACTTTTCTTGTAAAACTTCTTTCTGATCTAGAGCTCACACTCTCTCAGTCCTTAATTTGAAGGCATAACTCTCCTTCTTGGCAATGGGAGTGACAGTGGGAGGCAGGTAGTTTAAGGGATTAAAGATCTTTTCCTTCTACTGAGGGAAGAAATCCTGCTACCTGTATTGTGTTGTATAAATGGGCATTGGAATATAAAGTCAATAAACTTGGTAATATTGAGTTAAAGCTGAAAATTAGGAATCCGATTATTTTCTTTGTATGCGTTTGCTCTCCTCATCTAATTTTACTTCATTAATTGCAGTTTTGTATTTCAAAATAAAAAAAAAAAAATAGCTGAGCTCCAGCCACTAGGTTTTGTTGGTTGCACTATTTCTGTTTTCACTCAAAATCAAGTCACTTCTAAGCCCATTGGGCTGAGGTGCAGTTTGGTTCTGACTGCTTTCTGCAGCAGTAGTCTGTTGATGTGCTTGTGATCTTACCTTGCTGTTTGCTGAATGTGCCAGTGGTACAGTTCACAAAGAAAAGCTCACAACTTTGTCACATTCTTATGGGATTTTTGTAGAGGGCCTTACTCTCAGATCTGATCCTTGTGCGCTGTGTGTGCTCAGGAAGGATGTGTAATCTAGGCACAGAGTGGAGCCACCCTGAAGTCTCTCCCATCAGCACCATTGTTCCTGAGGTATTTTCCAACACCGAGGAGTCACCGAGTCACGAGGGCCCTCAGAACCTTCCCAGTGTTGTTATTCTAGTGAAGAGAAACGGAGGTTTAGTTCCTGCATTTTACTGCATCCTCTCAAGAGGTGGAAAAATAGAAACAAGAGGAAGAGAACCTGACTAACCAGAGAAATCTCAATTAACACTAATAAAACTTTAGATGGCAATGTGCCACAGCCTGTTTCCAGGTTTAATCAAAGTGATAGAAGGTAATAGTGGTTTTTCAGTAGCCTTTGAGCAGTGTTTTAGCACTTGTGCTAGAATCTTGTGCTACTCAAGACTCAAAAAAGCATGAATATTAGCAATGATCTTCATTCAAAATTCCACTTTTTTACTTCGAGCAAATGCAGTACATTTTTTGCTAAAATCATAATTTTTTATGCTAAAAATATCTATTTGCAACTTAACCTTTCCTAGCTCAGAACTCAGGCTGAAACAAGAATGGGAATAGCAGGAGAAAATATCCCTTAATACATTAATGTTTTCCCATAGCATCCTGACTGTAACATCTTTAAAATCTGCTGCTGGGAATATTATATATGTTATATTATCAAATATGCTGTATGAGATATACTATATGGGTTAAGTTCACATTAGAGAAGATGTGAAGCAGGCAAAGTTGCATACTAAGTGCAATTAATTTTGGTGGGTTTTTTGTGAGGAGAGTCACTTTCAGGACAGGGGCCCTGAGCTTGACAAAGGCTTTCAGTATAGCAGTATAGCTGTTAAAATACACAATTAGTGATGAAAATAGTTATTAAAAATGAGTACTGCAGCATATACTCCAAAACAGTTCTAAAAATACACTTCTTGCTAGGCCAAAAGAGGGGAAAAATCCCTGCATTGTAAAGAATTTTACTCTGCAACAGAAATAGCTGTCTTTGAAACAACCTTCAGAACTGTCGCATCTACACCTGACAGTCAGGCTTGTAAGACTTTTATCTTGAATTGTTCGGCTGTCTTCTTCTTGACTGCTTTTACAATAATCTCTGTGGAAATATGCAATGATTAGTACATTGTGTATTTCCTGGGAACTGTGAGTCATTCCAGAAATTAGCTGTACATACGAGGGGTATTCAATGTACCTAGATTTCAGCAAATGACTCTGGTCCCCAGATTAAGAGTTATCTTTATATACTCTATGAGTAATTATGGGAAAGAGACCTATTCTACTGCAAAATGATGCAAAATTTTGTGTGAGCTGAATTATTTTCTTAGGCGTTTGTCCTCCTGTATTGGCCATATAGGGTTGGCACTGAAATCAGTAACAGAATACTAAACAGTTGCTCTATATAACTGTTTGGAAAGACCAGGGAGATAATTTCATAGAAGTTCATGTACAACATGCACAAAGGTTGTTGTCAATTTATTGACCCCTATTAAAAGCAGGGAGTACCATAAAGTTTCCCTTTGTGACTTTTCCTGATTGCACAGACTTGTGTCGCCCATTTTCTGAGTGTTCACTCTGTCCCAGTCTGTCTGACTCATGCTGCCAGTGGAAAGCAGCTGACAGCAATCCTTCAAGCTCAGCTCTGCAGGGCAGGCTGTAGGAGAGGATGGGAGATCACCATGCTGGCATGACAAAGACAATGTAAGAAGCAGTACAAGATAGTACACACAGAGTCCAGTGCTGTATCTGAATGGGAGTAGTGGCTGAAATGGGGGGTTTTGGAATTCCAGTTCAATCTTTGATCCCTTGAGGCCAGTTCTTCCTCTCCTGGAACTCAGTGTGACCTTTGTTATACCGAGAAGTGTGTGCTTCTGCATTGAGGACACTCCTATGTAGGAGGGCTGGCTGTGCTGCAAACTTCTCTCAGGCTGTAGAGGCAGTAGGGAGTTCTGGGAACAAAGGCCTTAGAATAAACAGACCTTCAGTCCCATAGCTAAAACACATCTCTGTATCTGAATAATGTTCTTCTATATAACACAATGAACAACAGCAATGCCCGAATGAAGAATAGTTTACCTTCTGAAGAAAACAGGAGGAAGATGTTCCTCCTGCATTCAGAACTCCTCAGGAGAAATGCACTGCAAGTGGTACTGTACTGTTGTGCCAGTCCACTTGCTCAGCAGCTCATTTCTCCTGAAGGTGGGACACTTCAGCAGGCACTTCGTACCCATGGAGCTTCCCCTTTATCGTCTCGATATGGCTCTGAGCACAGTGTGTGGGCCTGACTCATGAGGAGCTAATCCCAAAGAGTCCTTTTAGAGATCTCCTATTTGTTCAGTTAAGAATACATTCTTCCCCCTGAAATTAGTCAGGGATACAGCTATTTCTTGAGGCTGTTGTGAAGGAATAAAAATCTGCTTTATTTAGAGGTCATGGAAAAGCAGCACGAGCTTTGTCAAACAGATTGTGAGGAGCTGGGCACAGGCCACCTTTGAATCAAAACCCCCATAGCTCTGTAGGGCAACAGTGTGCTCCCAGAAATATTGCATGAGCTGCAACACAGCTCCCTGAGACTGCAGCCTGTAGTCTCAGTGCTGTCAATCATTTAAATACAGAGGGGAGCACAGGTTTGTCTGCAAAGCATTGTGCAGATGCAGCTGGAGGCTTATCACTGAAGTGTTACACTTTGTAAGTCAGGTACAAATTTTTCATAATAGCAGACTGTAGTTTTATTTAAACAGATTTCACAAGCTATATCTGTGAAGAAAAATAATTTAAGTGTGAATTAATACTGCTGTGTTCAGTCTCCAGAGAATTAGAATCACCAGCAATGACAGATCCTGTAGAGGTTTCTCTATGTTGCCTCTTTGTCATTTTACTGCTCTTTGTAACTTCTGGGAGGTGTACAGCTGTTTCCACCTTCACCTTACAAAAACTTCATTATTTTTAGTTTCTTCTTTACACTCAGACTAATGCCAACCCTTTTCCTGTCACTTCTTAGTCTGTAAATGATTCTTTAACCAGTTTAGGCAGAGAGTTCAGCAGGGCATCATGAGTCACACTTTCCTTTTCATGGTATTTTTGGAACTATCAGAAATCTTTTAAATACATTCTGACAATTTGAAAAAGAAAAGCTGTGGTTGCCTCATTTTGATTTAACTGAATCTTGAAAGATAAGTAGGGGGAGGGGAGCACTGAGAATGCACAGAAACAATGCTGCCTTGACTCATTTTCTTGTCCTTACTGCACTGAAGTTTCTGGCCTTTAGCTGCCTGAATTGCTTTTTGGGCATGCTTGTAAAATCCAATGCCTCCAATATATTTTTGAGCAGAGCAGAGATACATGGTTATTTCAGTTCACAATGTCTATGTGCATGATCTTAATGAAACTTCAGCACTGATGTTAACAGCACGGATGTGGGGTTTTTTTAAGTGGTTGGAGTGAAGCTGTATAACTGCCCTTGAGGGGTCTGTGCCCTTTGACAGCAAAGTGGAAAAATATAGTGTTCTGCAAATCTGACACTCTTATGTACTCTGGAGAATGGAGAATATAATCTAGTCCAACAGACGCTAGTGTTCTCATAATATCAGCTGAAGAGAATTACAGAAGGATCAATTTTATGTAATTAAACTTCCCTGGCATACACAGAGATCTGTTTCCTTCAAAGAAAAAAAATGGGAAAAAGAAAAGTCCCCATGACTGGAGCATTCTCCTGCCTTCCTGCACAGCAATTGTTAGTTTCTTACATTAAATGAAAAATGGTAATTGAAACTAATCCTGGGAAATACCACTCTCTCACTGATATCCAGTAACATTTAAGATCTAACATATAAAAAAAATTGTGTTCAATGTGTAACAGTTCCACCAGAAATGGAAAGCAAAACTTGACAAATGTTTTCTTTAGGGTCTTTCTTCAGCAACAGAAAAAACAGAACAGTAGAGCTTGACATAGTTCTGCAACTGCCACATCTTTCCCTTTTGTGCATATTGATAGCTCTCTCTCAAAGTCACACTGATATTAGATGCATCTTCTGGCCACAGAACAACCTTCATACAAGTACAAAGGAGAAAACGTTTCAGCTGTCCAAATGAACCTTTTTTTCAAATGAACCTTTTAAAAGGAGGCATAAATAGGAGTGCGAATTGTAGAGGGGATGGATTTCTATTGAGAGGGTAGGATATTGTCTGCACCTCTGACTTCGGATTCAGTGATGTCCTTTAGCTGCTAAATGCAAATCAAACAGCAGCAGATTATGCAAGGCTGAGGAGTTAAATTAAATCTTTATATTACCACCTCTTCTTTAATACAGCCTGGGGGTACATGCTACCAAAATGGTCTCGTATTGTTGTTGCAAGGACAGTACTATCAGGACAGCTCTCCTGGTAAAACTGGATTCCAAAGGAAAGGGAAGAATAGGTCAAACCTAGGATAATGTAGATCCTGTCAGTCCTTTGGTTCATTTTACTTCCTGGTCATTTAGCTGCCTCACTGTGGATACTGTGCTGCAATTTTTGGCACAGAAACTGTGAAACTATGGTAGCTCTTGCAAGGAAGTCTTATATATTTGTGTCTTGATATTAAAGTTGCAGAATTAGTTAGCCATGGGTGTGAAGCTCCTGCCTTTACATTGTGGACAATTAAAAAAACTCTAGTGGTACCTGGCACCTTTATAAAGAAGGAAGAAACTGGCACGAGGATGAGGACCAGCCATTCTGTCATCCTCAGGGAATGATTGTTAGACACAAGAGAAATTGAAAGAAGTGATAGATGAAGTGCACTCCTGTCTGGATTTCCATCATCCAGATTGTGAGTGCATTTACAGTTTGGGAGGGCATCATTTCCTTTTCTTCCACTCCCTTTTCAGTCCTGGCAGTTAGTTATTGCACCAAGTTGGTGCCTGCTTGAGTTTCTGCACCTACATCCCTCATCAGTGCACAGCCAGCATGACCTGAAGCAGCACTCATGAACTAGGTGATGTTCATGGAACAGGTACAGTACAGCCCATTAAGTATGCAGTAAATCTGTGGGTGTTCAGCTTTTCACATCTGTGTGATGCTCACTCACTCTAACTTTCCATCTTGGTGAGACTACACTCTTTCTTCTGTCATCTGTTCACTGTATATCAAATTTTTTACCTGTGTAGAAAACACCTGTCTACTTTTACCTATGCCATATATCCAAATATCAAAATTAAATAAAGAATTTCCCTGGTCTTGTCTGGGATCAAGATAAAGAGTGAGTGTTGTGCTTCACACAGCAGTTTGGCTGTGCTTCACACAACTGGCTGTCTCAGTTTACCAGGGTTCCTTGTGTTTGAGAGGTGCCTTCCCACCAGTGGCATCAAAGGGAGTGAGGTCATATCAGGAGATCAGATTTACTTAATAGTATTTCTGTACTTGTGCCTTATTAAATATCTGAGCTTGATTTAGTTTGTGAACTCTGCTGTTACTTATGCAGTTTCCCTTTCCCTTATTTTCCCTCATCTTACAAAACAAGTATAACTAATTGTAAACCTGGCATTCTCTGCTGTATTTGCTCTATTTAGCAATGCCTTTACTCTTGGATAAAGAATGATCCAAGACTCTGGGATTTTTCTTGCTAATTAAAATAAGGCTGCATAAAGTTGAGTTTATGGTTTGATTGAAGGAGAAAAGAAATCTAAGACAAATTTAAAGTTAAACTTGAAGTTTAACTGATAAGAAAGATATTTGAAATTTTTTTCCTTCTCATGTATTACTTTTTCTCCTAGAGAGTCCAAGAAAATTTGGTCAAGATGTATTTCACTTACCCCAGTGGTTCTGTAGCACTTTGCTCTATAGTGTGGTCCTCTCAGCCAGACTTTAGAGCACTGTCACTGCTAAGCTAGAAATGTTTCCATCATGAGTGCTTTGTCTGCATCATCTTTGCTGTACTATTTCATCATACACCTCTGGTTTTGTCCTATACATAACTGTTAGCAGGATCTTTTTGCATGCTGGTGCCAGAGTTTCTCTCTTACATGCTTTATAAATGTGTTCTTTTTTTTAACTTGTATTGCCAAGCTCCTGTCTTGCAGCTGATGTAGGGGTGTGATCTAAGCTGGGATCTATAGAGTGACAAAGTTCTTCATGGTAGCAGTTCTGGGATCAAATCATAGATTTGAACTGTCAGGTACAGATGTGCTGTATGAAGAAGTTGACTCCTGTCCTGCTTTTCAAACCTTTTTGTGTGTTTAAATTTAGAACAATGGAGAGCTAGAATGTTTTGGCCTCCGAGATGGTTGCATATGCAAGATTTTCTGTGTTTCCTTACGTCAGGAGATTGTATCTTTTCTTTTCTAGATTTGAACGTATTCACACAAAGAAAGGGAACTACAGTAAGTCACTAGTTTCAAACCAAGAAGAGGTAGATGATTTAGCAACCTTGGAGGTACTGGATGAGGTAAGAACCTCTTTTTTCCTGTTTTTCTGAAGAGGAGTAATCACATATTAAATCACAAATTAATACTAAATGGTGTGCTGTTGATTTTCAAAATCAACTGTATTCTCACACTTCAGTTGTGTAAGTGTACCATGACATTTCACCACTTTATGCCAAATATTTTAGACAAGATTTACTGTGTCAGAAATGTTCCAACTCAAAGCTAAAAAATCTCTGGAGTTACAGCCGTAGACCAAAGAGTATTGTAACACCATTGCTTAAACAGGATTTATATCACTGGATTTTATTACAGCTAAGTATCCAGTCTGCAGTGGTGTGTTAACCTGAAATTGGTCTAGGTCCAAGACCTTCCAGCCCTGTTGCTTGAACACCAAGAGTTGTCTTAAACTAGCTCACCATGCTCTCCCAGACTCATTAAATTATTTTGGTGTGGAAATGCATGAGGTTTCATTTATGTCTGCTGAGCCTCTCATGTGTCAATGCCTGCTGGTAAGCCTTTGACCAAATTACTGATACAAATACCACTGGTTTGTCAAAGTTCAAAAATTAGTCCACTGGTGCAGGGAAACATGACATACAGGAGGGAGGAAATCTGCTGTGTTTATGCTTTAAGCTTGAAAACTAGAAAGAAGAATCAGGCTGCAGCATATTATCTGCAGGTCTTGTAGGCCATCACTGGTTGTAAACAAACTGTCATTCTTCATCTACTGGGCTGTGCATCGACTATAATTCACATTCTCTTATATGTAAATCTTCTCTGGTATATTGTACTTTTGCCAGTCCAGAATATTCATTGTGGCACTTGAGCTGATAAATTGTATCATGCTGAAAGCTCACAGAACATCCTCCATCTTCCTAAGAGCTTTGTTATAGTAGCTTGATGTTTAATTAATTGTAATTGAACTAACCCAAAATACATCTACTGGACAAAGTTCATGTTTAAGCATTTTTAGTATTGGGAAGAGTAAGACTGTTGTGGGTTTTTTTGTTTTTTTTCCTTTTACCATAATACATATAAACAATCCAAGCTAAAGAGATTTTATTACATAAAAAAAGCAGACAAACTGGTACATATCCCATCTCCTCAGAGGTGAAGCATTCGTGGAAATCCTCAGGAAGCCTCTGTCTAAATGCATTGTTTGACTACGTGCTTTTACTAAATCAAATCCAATTTAAAACCACTTTCACATATGAATGGTAGCTTCTCAGAACTGTATTCTTTCTTCCACTCAAATTTTTCTTCCAGTTTAGATAGCCCCATCATATGAGAAAGACAAGAGACCTTCTATTGGTGCAAGAAGTAATTTCAGAAAGGGCAGAAGTTCCCCTAAAATAATTCTGTACCATGAATCTTGTTCTGGCCAAAAGAAAAGAGAGCATTCTAAACCATAAAGTTTATCAAAATTTTCTCCTTATGTTTTCTCATGAAGGAAATATAGCTTCTGCAGCTGGTGAGAATTCGGCTAGTATGTGTATTAAACAGGACACAATGTACAACACTGTGAATAGATAAATGAGGAAGGAAAGAAATTCCTTCTGTAGTCCTCTGCTGCCAATTGGTCTGTTCCAGTGGGTATGGAGCCTAAATATTTTCACATGTACCCCAGGTTAGTCTCAAGGCTGGTTTGAATTTCTTCATTCAGTTCTGTGGCCTGTTTTGATTGGAAACCTAAGCAGGCACTTTATATACCCAGCTGTGTATGCAGAAGAAGCTGAGGGAAATTACATCAAGAAATTTGAATGCCACTAATGGGCCCTTCTTTTTTTTGGTTCAGGGGGAGCTGGCTCTGCACGAGCAAAGAACAATCACAGCAGAGACTGCTTGTTAATAGGGAAAGATGCCTCATTGTTTACATTACTGGGAGCAAAACAGTTGAACATCTGTGTTGTATCATAACTGAGAGTAATGTTAGAGCAGCTGTAATGGCAGTTATGGACTCAATCTCTTGCTTGATAAGTTACATGAAACTTTAGTAGTAGAAATGTAGACAAGACTGTCTCATGGAAACCTCTGATGAACTGAATGGAAGCAGTATTTATTAACTCCTTTTTCTACAGCCATTTGAGGATCTGTAAGTATGTATTATTCAAAGACAAAAAATTAGAAATGCCAGTGTGTTTGAAGATATTACTTACTTTTGATTCATGATCCATTGTACTCCAGACTATAAATACCTTCCTTCCCCATCCTCTCTCATTGAAATTATATAAAAATTTAATACATTTTCTTAATATTCTTTCCCCCCACCCCACCATGTGATTCACGGATCCTGTTCCCTCTCCATCAGAATACAGTAACGGAACAGTTGCAGAAGGGTTATGCCAAGGACCAGATCTACACATACGTTGGGGACATTCTCATCGCTGTCAATCCATTTCGGAACATAGATATTTATTCTTCACAGGTGTGAAAATTTAGGTTTTGTTATTTTCTACTAGCACCAAATTCCACTAAAATATAAATATTTGTGTTAAGAATAAAGACCATTCTTGAGATTTATTTTAGCTTACTCTGAAAAACAGAATTACCAGTAGAGATGTTCTTTCAAGTGCACATTGACACATATTCTTAATTAACGCTTGCTGAATTTCAGCACAGAAATGAGAAACTCCAAAATAATTAATTTCTAGTGTCTTTATGTCTACAGTGTAGGTCATGCATAAAGTAATCCTGTAAAATATTAACTTCTGTGAAATCTGTCTCCTTATTATTCAAAAAGGAATTTGTCTCCCTATTATACAAAAGGGGAAAGACATTAAAGTTGGATCATACAATAATTTGGGGTTATTAATTATCAGATACTACAGGTACAGAAATTATCTCAAGTTTTAAGATCAGTACCATGCAGAGATACTAATGGGAAGGGAAGCACAAATAAATTTAAATAAGTTGGAACTATGATGTCTGACAACAGTAAATTTTCTTCTAATAAATTGAGTTTCATAATGTAATCAGGGCTAAAATTATAGAAAATTGCTCTTCATGTTTTAGCAGTTCTTATAATCCTAAGTACATACAGATTCATAGTATAGTAAGTGCAGTAACAGCTCCCTCAGAAAACATCACTGCTGGAAACCTCAGCATGCTGTACACTAATCTAAAAATAAAACCAAACTTTAAAAAACCCAAGTTTTTAAAGGACAGTGATAATGATTTTATTTTTCTTACGCTTAGCATTCCAAATTGTATATTGGAGCCAAACGGACTGCCAACCCTCCTCACATTTTTGCTGTTGCTGACATAGGCTATCAGTCCATGGTGACATACAACTCTGATCAGGTATGGATGAGGTGTCTAATTACATCCTCTGCCAGCTGAGAGATATGTGATGAGCTCAGTCTTGCTCTGTTCTCTGCAGTGTATTGTTATTTCTGGAGAAAGTGGAGCTGGCAAGACACAGAGTGCCCATCTGCTGGTTCAGCAGCTCACTGTCCTCGGCAAGGTAAGTGGCAGAGGGGATATCTCTGTAAGGCTTTAGGCCTTTGCTATCCTGGGTCTAAAGGGCTGAACCTATGGACAGGGCGTTGCTTGTGGGGTGAGACTGTTACACATTTTACAAAGAACATTAGAACATGATGCTGATCTGTCTACTCCTTCCTCCCTCCTAGGGTCACTTGGAAATACACTGCGGTTTCCACAAAAAAAAAGTACCACTGCAATGAGGGTTGTGACTTAGTCAGGTCCCTGTTTAATTGAGTGCCTTCAAGTTACACAAGCTGTACTAAATAAAATCCTCTTCTAGCTTCTCATCCTTCCACAACCAGATTGCTGTCAGTGGGACATAGTCATTCTTGGAAGTGGTGGCCATAACTGTCTAAATAAAATGCCATTTTTAGAATGCCAAGATGAGATGAAAGCAAGGTAATTGATTGGTATGGTGCAGTGGAGCAGTAACCAGATGCTAACAAAGATCCTAAAAGCAGATTGGCCATCTCAGAGCCACAAAACCACAGAAACCATAGAAATTAATTTATAGTGTTGTTATCATTATGTGTGTAAATTCTTCCAGAACAGCCTTAGTTCTGAGGATTGCTATATTTTCACAGATTTAATTTTATATATACATATATACATATATATATATATATATATATATATATATATATATGCCTTTTTCTCCATATAATTTCCATGAGAATAGGTGCCCTGATTATGTCACACTTCGCAATACACTTCACAATACCAATGAGAAGATTAAAGGAACACCTAAAAATGCATTAATTTGAATAATCACTGATAATTTGGAGCAATATCTTTTTTCATATCCAGGCTAATAACAAGACTCTGCAGGAGAAGATTCTTCAAGTGAACAACCTTGTAGAAGCATTTGGGAATGCAGGCACTATCATCAATGATAATTCAAGCAGATTTGGAAAATATTTGGAAATGAAATTCACTTGTGGTGGCACTGTAGTAGGAGCTCAGATTTCAGAGTACCTCCTTGAAAAATCCAGAGTTGTCCACCAGGCAGTGTAAGTATGAAAATTGTATTTGACCTAATTTGGGAGTTACAGAGTAGGCCTATGATGCAGGAAATCACCATGGTTCAAAACACAAAGATGAATGAGGTACCTGGATTTTTTTCCTTAAAAGTTGTATATGGATAGCTTATGAATCTGTAATGTAGCTGAAAACTACTCCAGATTTTTTTTTCATTGTTTCCTGGGTTATTTAAACAAATCTTATAAAAATGCCCATGTGATATATAAAATAAGAATGTGCAAAGAATTAGAAACTTACTAATAGTTCAGGTGTACATTTCATTGTGGGATTTTCGGTTATTGTGTTAAGTATATCGCTTGGATTTAATTCCTCTAAATTTCCTGTAGTATTGTAGCCTATTTATTTGTTTGGTCATTTTCCATTTTGGAACATCTAGTAGGATTTGTTTATAGAGGATTATGGGTCAAAGATCCCTGCCAAGAAGGATTTGGGGGTGCTGGTGGATGAGAGGCTGCACATGACCCAGCAATGTGCTCTTCCAGCCCAGAGAGTCAAACATGCACTGGGCTGTACCAAAAGCAGTGTGGGCATCTGGTCGGGGGGGGAATCTGTCCCTCTACCCTGCTCTGGTGAGACCCCCACCTGCAGTGCTGCATCCAGCTCTGGGGTCCCCACTACAGGAAATGTGGACCTGTTGAAGAAAATCCGTAGAAGGCCACCAAGATTATTGGAGGGATGGAGCACTTAAGCTTTGACATTCATCCCAGTGCAAAGAGGAATTTCTATATAAGCATGTTCAGTGTTTTATTTATTATTATTATTCCTTTGCTACAAGGAATGGCTGAGAAAATTGGGATTGTTCAGCCTGGACAAGATAAGGCTTTGGGGTGACCAAATTGCCACCTTCCACCTGAAGGGAGCCTGTGAGAAAGATGGAGTGACAGGATAAGGGGCAATAGATTTACACTGAGAGAGAGTAGGTTTATATTAGATTTTAGAAAGAAATTCTTTAATGTGAGGGTAGTGAGGCACTGAAACAAGCTGCCCAGAGAAGCTGAGATACCTCATCCCTGAAAGTGTTCAAAGCCAGGCTGGATGGATCTCTGAGCAGCCCGGTCTAGTGAAAGGTGTCTCTGCCCGTGACAGGGGAGTTGAAACTAGATGACCCTTAACGTCCCTCCCAGCCCAAGCCATTCTATGGTTCTATGATCCAGTGGTGCCCCTGAGACATAAATCTAAGCTCATGCACAAAGCAGGGGTTTGAACGCAATTCCTTTTTGCCATTCAGTAGTGACTGACTTGGGCAACTCAGGGCTCAGTCATGGTTGCAAATATTCACCTAGTTCTTCTCATAAGGAGTACACTTGAATATCTATTAAACCTCTGTCCTAGGTTTGGGCATGTATCATCTAGGCAAAGCATGCCAAGTCGTAAGTCCTTTTTGCTGAATGTCTACTTCTTGGTTCAGGGCCAAAAGAATACAACAGACCTACTGCACTCAGTGAACCAAGAGTGTATACCTCTCCCACAGTCAGAAGGTTTTTTAAAATAATTGGAGTTAAGCAGCCCATTCAGTGTGGGTGGGTGAGGAATGTGCACGATCTCACGCAGGATCTACCAAATGCATCAAGGGCAGATCAGCACTCCTTTAGCACTAAGCAGCCAGCCTGGCAGTGTCAGGACAAACACACAATGGCATGAAAAGAGTGTTCATAGGAAGTTCTGTAATAATGCTTCTTTCAGAGTCCTCTGTCACTTTGTGTGAGTCTTGCCTGTTATTAAAATAACGTTTAGTGATAGTATGTGTGTCATTAATAAATGTAGCATGCTTGTATTACTAAATCAGTTTGTTGTTTCTGTTGTTTCAGAGGAGAGAAAAATTTCCATATTTTTTATTATATTTATGCTGGTCTCGCAGAAAAGAAAAAACTGGCACATTATAAACTGCCAGAATGTAGACCTCCCAGGTAATGCAGTTTATTTTTGCATAAATTGATTACTAAGAAAGCCGGTGTTGAATTCTCAGCCTCATTTACATTCTAACTCTGTATCCATCAACTCTTTCAGATATCTGCAAAATGATCATTTCAGAATAGTGCAAGATTTCATGAACAATACCTTTTATAAGTCTCAGTTTGAATTAATAGAACAGTGCTTCAAAGTCATAGGTTTTACACTGGAGGTGAGTGCTGATAACCCTTTTCATTTGTGAACTTCACCAGCTACCTTAATCAGGAAAAACTTATATAAAGCATTCAAATCTCCCTTGTTCCTTTAGCATATTGTGTTTATGTTTTAGGATCTTGCATGGTCAACTTACTGTTATATAGTAACATTTCATTTTTAAGATTTTAAGGCATTGGTAAACCAATAAAATTATATTAGCCATCAAGACTTTGAAATCAGTGAACATAGCACAGCTGAGTAATTTGGGGGGGAAGACTTTAACAAATTTAATGCATAGAAAATTATGTTGCAACAGTTTATTAGCCAGTAATTTTAGTCCTGTGAATATGAACCTCATCTCAGTTTTAAGAGGAAGTCCATGGTGAGAGTTCTAAAAATGCATTGAGCTGATCTGAGTATTGATGAACTCAATACATTTTCACAGCTCCAGGGATAAAGTTGAATGAAGTCCTTAAGTCCCTTTGGAGATGAATCTCATTACTAAACAGTATCTGAACCCATTTTTTCTTTTTGATCTCATATCATTGTTCAGCTAGCTGTTAAACCCCTCTCCTTGGTCAGTCTTTGGTAGAATTAAAATTAAAAAAGGATTGAATTTGCAAAGGAAAGAAATCTTATCCTGTGACCTAGTTTTGCCTTACGAGAAGTGGTGCATCACAGGTGTCATTTGTCTCTGACTTTATTTATAAACAATATAAATAGTAGAGGTATGATCCATACAGTATCCATGAAATACAGCACTAGTGCTGCAGAATGGATGTATGTTTTCATTTCTCTGACAAAACTGTATGTGGTAAGAAGCATTTCACAGAAAATTGCTCACTTCAGTTGACTGTTTCTGGCTTACCTCAATGTAAATATTTGAAATAGCTAGCAGAACAGATGTATTCACTTATTTTGTTCCTCCAGAGTCACTTTGCATTAGGTTGTAGTAGCAGTGGCAATCACAGTCGCTTTCTCCTCTATGTGTTATTCACAACTGCATTTAGTAATATCACACCTGTACTATCACTTCCTTTCACTTGTGCTTTCACCTTTCAGAAGCAGCATGAAAGGACATTCATGGTTCAGCATTGATAGCAGCTTTGTCACAGCACCAGAGACCTTGATAAGTCCTAATTTAAAGCATGAAAAGCAGCAAGGCTCTTTTTGTTTCCAGTTCTTTTGTTCACTTGGATGTGTAGAAACAATAATCTTGATCATCCAAAAGAGGCCTTCCATGTACATTGAAGATGCAGTTATAACCAGGTCACTGGTTGCATTGTGTAGTTCTAGCGTGAATCTTCACTTGATTAACTCAGCAAGCCACTGGGAGCTGATTCTATGGAGAATTATCTACCTGTAGAACCCTGCAGTTTCAGAAGCACGCTGAGTGCCACAGGCAATCTGCTTGTGGCTACTTGTGAGCCCCAGCCATGTCAGCCTGCCTTACATCTCTCTCAGGGTGAATTAACCTGTCTGAGGCTGTGCTTGCTGGAGTGAAGGAAGAGTCTTCTTCCCTCACTGAGGTTCTGATATTGGATACATGTGCAAAGACATTTTTTTTTTCCGTGAAAAAAATACCCCATAGGACATTGAATCCCTTTCCTAAGTTCATTTTTTAGTAGTTCAGCCTTAAGCTTTGACATTCATCCCAGTGCAAAGAGGAATTTCTATATAAGCATGTTCAGTGTTTTATTAGCAGAAAGCTATGGACAGGAAAAAATCTTAAAACCGAGACCTAAACAAAGCTTTATTTCTTTGAAATTTGCTTTTGACTGACTGACAGGCTTTAAAAGTAACTACTGTCAGTACTCCCTGTCTAAAAATCACAGTTTTATTTCAGGCTGCACAGCAAAAATATTAAGAAAGGACTGCCTGAGGGGAACAATAATTATGTTGTATGAGACAGATCAAGCCAGACTTCAAACACACTGCAAAAGGGCAGAAAAATGTCAGCAGCTATACATATTATACAGCATGATGGCAGAAGTTAAGGTATCCATTTATTTGCATTTCAACTGTGTCCCTAAGCTTAAAACGAAAATGAGTGCTTAATCCTAAGTAAACTGTGTGCCAATTATCCACAGTATAATTTTTTAGAGTGAGCTTATCCAGTTTGTCTTGCTGTCACTAGAATCGCTATTTATTAACTGCTAGATTAACTTCTGAAAGTGTCGAAAACAAGCTCACGTATTCTAGAGCAATTAGAGATTTTGTCTGAGTAAATGATGCCTGACATGGTACCAGCAAAGTATTGAATAATATGGATAAAATGCTGTGCAATTATAAAAAGCTCATAGTTATAAAATACCAATCAGATGTTAAGAACTGCTTCTTATAAAACTGCTACAAAAGTTTTCAACCTGCTATTTATAAAACACGCTATGCTTCAAAATACAATGTCACAGACTGCTAGTCTGCTTTACAGGTACACCTAGAATTTTCTGAATAAAAAACACTCAGATCATCAGGTATAACGATAAACATTTACTGTTCAAATGAAAATTTGCAGCTAAAATCCAAGTCCAACCTGCAATGAAAGCATTATTTTATTAATTCCAAATATTATTTTAAATGTATGTATTTGTGTATATTGACTGTATATCACTTCACTGTCCAAAGTAATAATGGACTTTTTCATGACAGAGTCCCTTTTCACAGAATCACAGAATTAACTAGGTTGGAAAAGACCTTTGAGGTCATCAAGTCCAACCTATGACCTAACACCACCTTAGCAACTAAACCATGGCAGAGCCTCCTAAATAATTTGAAATCTAGTTTTGTTTAAGCAAAGTCCACATTAAGATGCTTTGGTGAGTTCCTAACTGACATTTTGAAGGATAAAGTGCTTTGTCAAATTGGAGATGTGAGGCCTCACTCTTCCCCCAGTGAAAATTTTTCTGATGACATGGGTGGGAGATGATATAGACCTATTATTTGGAGTACCTTTGTTTCCATGATGCAAGAAACATCAATAGAGATGTTTTTCTATTTTTTGTTGATCTAGGTATTAAATCTTTAGACATGTTTGCACCTGCAGGCACAGTGAAGGGTATATATAAATAACCTCTGAATTCTTCCTATGTAAGAGGGTATGCACACCACTGTTTTTGATTTCCTTACTTCCTGTCAGCCCTGTCCTGTCAACAAGTACAGAAGAGAAGTTAGGCTATGGTTTATCTTGCCCTCTTTGTCTGTTTTACTCTTGAAAGACTTTGCTAAGTACAGAATGGGAATAATTGCTGGAACAGCACCCCTAGAAGTAATGGGCACATGGCAGACAGCAGGAAACAACACACACACATATGCCGATGGCACGAAGCACAGAGACAAATTACCTGGCTATTAATTGTTGAATTTTTTAAAATATACTTTTCAGGAACTTGGAAGTGTGTACAGTGTCCTGGCTGCCATTTTAAATGTGGGTAACATTGAATTTTCTGCAGTAGTATCTGAACATATGATTGACAAGAGCAACATTTCCAATCCTGTAGCCCTTGAAAACTGTGAGTGTTTTTTCTTAACAATTTTTTCTTTAGTGTTTTTATAACAAATTTATTTTATAGTAAGAGAGGTATCAATGAAAACTGTATTCACATGGAAATTTTGCAAGAATAATTAAAAACTGAAAGTAGATTAATTCTAAGCCCACCTGAATTCAAATGCAGAAAAGAAAAAAATTTCCATGTTATGCATCTTATTTGACTAACCAGTGCACTGGCATACAGGAAACATGACTAATACTGCAGATGCCTGAAAAAATCTTTGGAATTTTTCCAAGGTTATTTGAACATTTGATGGAGAACCTCATTAACACATTGAGCAGTTTTTTCCCTGTTTCTTTCTCAGTTGCTCATTACATGTTCCCCACATTTGCCTGTGTAAATAAGGCTCACTAATTCTTTAGAAGGAATTCCTTACATTATAAGCTGCTAGGAGGCAGAGGAGGAAGAGAGGCAAAGGTTCTCCAGAAATTTGCTGCACTTTCTTAGTAATTACACTGGGGAAATAATGAAGTCTTCACACCATCTTCTTGTATGTTTTCTTGCCATAGAAAAATATTGTGGAACTGGGAAAGAAGCACCCCTTTTTTGGAGCAAAAAGAGAACAGCAGTGACTTGTATGAGTGGGTTATAACTGAGAGGGGTATTCACACCTCACAACTTGGGTACTTCTAACATAGTCACCTTCCAAAATCTGTCTCTGAGCTATGCCTGTGACATTCCTTCCCAGGTGCATCCCTGCTGTGTATTCAGGCAGATGAACTGCAAGAGGCCCTCACCTCTCACTGTGTAGTGACTCGAGGAGAAACAATTATTCGTCCCAACACTGTGGAAAAAGCCACTGATGTCAGAGATGCCATGGCCAAAGCCTTGTATGGGCGCCTCTTCAGCTGGATAGTCAATCGCATCAACACTTTGCTCAAACCTGACAAACATTTAAGGTAAAAGGAGATTTTGCAGAATAAAGGGGTGTTTTTTTCCTGTGGTAATAATATTGTCTTACACTGGAGCATTTAGTGTAGTGAAGTTGTTTTTCTCTGCTACTTTTTTGTTTATTACGCCACCATGTCAAAAATGGTTTGTCTTGTTCATAGTATGTAGTGAAAATACAGTAGATATGGTTGGAAAAGCATCATGTCGATCTTTACTCATCTAACCCTTATTCTTTTTCTTTTGTATGTCTAAGCATTTTAACTTTCAACCCTTTTTCTTTTATATTTATTCAGAGTAAACTTTTTATTCATCGTGTTGATTACATAGGCCAAATTCTGCCTTATTTACACTGATGATGTTTCTTTTGTCACTGTTATTATGAGCAAGGTTTCGTATATGAATGGGAATAGTTTTTAAACATATTTAATGAAGGTGTTGTCCACTTTACACTTACAAGGTGACATTTTAAGCAACATATCAATAGCAAATAGCTTTGGTTTGCTGATCTCCTGGATCTGTAGATTTCCTGGATTTTTTCTTTTCAACATCAGAGGAGAGCCAAGGCTGCAATCCTAAAATTTGTCTAAATTTTTAAGTATTTGGTTATAGCAGAGCAACAATAAACAGAACTTCTATCAGTAAGTGATAGGATAAAATCCATGATAGATGGGTCAGCATTTCTAGCCTGTGTGCCTCTCTCAGTTGTCTGTTACAGAGCCCTTTTCAAACTGAATACTTACTTAGTATGCTGATGAAGAGGGAGAAAATTCAACCTGAAATGCTCACTATAAAAAAAACCCAAACAAACTTTGCTTGATTTTGTGATAGTAACATAATTTCCATTTTCTATTTTTATGTAATGAGCTCTGAAAATGGAATAGGGAAGATAAATTTTAGCAGTCTATTCATCAAAAATGTAATTTTGAGGCAGAATAAATAGTCACAAAATTCAGATCACTCCACAATGAAATGCTTCCTTTTTTGAGATGGACTTCATAAAGAGGTTTAAGTGCTATTCATGAGTCTCGAGGCTGATTTGTAATTTCTGATTTCCTAAATCTTTATTTAAAAAATTATTACAGATAGCCCCTCAAAGAGGTTTTATAGAAAGAATGTGATTTCTGTTTTACTTGCCTAGAAAGGTCACTAATGTCAACCTCAGTTTGTTATAAAAGTATATCCTCTTAATTTTTTGCTTCAGCAAATAAATATTAAAGCTCTTTTGCAGTTGCAGAAGTGATCACATATCTTGAGTATGCCCTACTTAAAATATCAAACCAAAGTTTTTCCAGTGCTTCTCTGGAATTTAATTGGTAATTTAAATTCATACCACATCCCAGTGCATAAAGTTATTTAGCTGCATAAATAATCTAGCTAGTCATTCTTTTTACTTTAATGTTAAACTAAGCAATTTTAATTGTTATGAGTAAATAATATGAAGAAATAATACTTAATGACAACAGTCTTTAATTTCAGGATACTGGTGACTAAAGCCTGTGTTATACAAGAGAGACAAAAAGAACTGCATGTTCTTTCTGTACTGTTGTCAGCTTTTTAGAATAATTACTTACAAATATTAGTGTAAAAATAAAATTGTAAATCCCCTATTCACTTTTCAGTTAACTTGGTTGTTATGTGATTTAGTATATCTGGTCTGCATTGCAGTAATCTTTGAATTGATCTGTGTTTATGTATTTCAAACTAACAATTATTGTCAATTTAAGAGCTCTCTGGTTCAGCAAAACTTATTCTGTCTAACTGGTGTACAGATTTGGCCCATGATTTTCTTTTGTGAAATAGTAATGAAGGTAGTTAATGAAAAATAAAGATACAACAATGAAAAGTATATTTCATCTTTGCAGTGAAAATGACGATGGCTTGAATATTGGAATTCTTGACATCTTTGGCTTTGAGAATTTCAAAAAGAATTCTTTTGAACAACTGTGTATCAACATTGCCAATGAGCAAATTCAGTTCTACTTCAATCAACACGTCTTTGCCTGGGAACAGGTATGTATTGGCTACTTTGATGAATCTTTAGTATTACTAAACACATATAACATATAAAGCTTTCAGTATTACTGAACATATAAAACCTTGTCACAAGAAGCGACACTGTTCCTTCTCCATGATAGCTTGTAAATAGCAGTTATAAAAAATGTTTTTAAGTATGTTTTCCATGAAGTAGTGCTTGTTATTTGCAAGTAAAATACCAACATAAAATGCATTAAACTTGAAATTTACAGTAACTAAGCAACATAACACTGTGCACTGTGATAATCTGATAGATGCAAATGCAATGTTGATTTCTTGAGGCATAATGAGTGTTATAATGTATGATTCAATAGTAAAAAAGTAAATTAGTGCTAACAAAATTTTGAAAGTGCAGGGTTCATAATAGTTTACTAATAAGCTTAATGATCACTGAAATTTCATTATTAAAAACTGCAAATTTCACAATTGTTTTGTTCTTCTTGAGAAACTAGATCATCTCAGCTAAATAATGATAGATTTAATCTAAATAATTTATTTTAAAACAGAAAAGGAATAACACTGTCAATATAAAAGTTCATTAATTTGAAAAACCTCAAAAAAATCATCTCAGCTTTGTAAATAATTCCAGGTGATTTAAATTAACAACGTTTGAATCATCATTCAATATTGTTATTTGAAGAAATAACATTTTCAGGGAAAAAAAAAATGATCTTGCTGGAAATTGAAATATTTCAGAATTCTATATAGCAGAACAGTCAGAATTCAAACCATAGGTGAAATTGTACTTCTGTTGTTTTACTGAAATTAGTGATGTTTATGATACATGGATGAAAATTCTCCTGAACTGTAACTTTAATTGTTAGTGGAAACAGAGTATTTTGTCAGTGTTAATCACTGTTTCAAAGATGAAGTACAAGTCTGGAATATGTCTATGTATGCAGGTGTGTACATGCATGTACATGCCTGTGTCAGTCTAGAAATGAATACATTTATGTGTAATATAACAATTTTTTTAATGGCTCAATATTTTATCCTCTTCCCGATTATTTCAGGAAATGTTGTCTTACAGTCTTGTATTTTGTAGGTTTTTTTATAGATTTATGTGCAAGATTATTGACACAAGTTTTTTCTTGGTTTTAATATCATCCAAAAGCCAGAGAAAATTTTAACTAGATCTACTGTAATTCCTTTGGCATCTTCTTTCCAAAGTACACAAGTTCACAAAAGAAGGTCACTTGGCTATTGCTGTTTCTAACAGTTGGAAGATGGAAATAGCACAGACTGCTGCAACAATACTTATTTCTGTCAAACCCAGGCACTGACCCGATCCCATGGACGTGCATATGTCCACTTTGCTTCAGTGTTCACTAACTTGACCCACCTGTGTTAAGTCTTCCTTGCCCCAGACTTTTCCCCTGGTCTCAGGGACCTGGGATTATCAGTCAAGATCAATGCAAAGAAGGCATTGAATATCTCAGCCTTTTCTATATCATCCACAAACTTGTTCAGCAGCAGGACCACATTCTCCCTAGTTGCCTTTTGTTGCTGAGGGGCCAGTCTTGGCTTTCCTAGCCCTATTCCTGTACACCCAAATATTGTCTTAATGTTCCTTTTCTTTTTTAATTAGAGTCAAGTTCAGTGTAATCTGCCTTTACTGGTTTCTACGTATCCCATTACTGAACTTTTTGGCCAGACCTATATTACTCAGAAGTTTGTGGTGTCGCCATGTAGGAGGAATAGTTTGCTCCCTTGCATGTGCTTTCCTGCACCATGGTCAGGGTGGTTATTCTGCTACTGAGCAGATGAGAGGAAAAATTCTTATTTTGACAATATATAGTTTGCCCATTTCTCCCTGTAGGAAATTAATACAACTCCTCTATAGAATCCATAGAAGGGTAATCTTTATTTACAGAATCTCTAAGTACATAAATTTTATCCATTTCTATTGATTCTCTCACAGATTTCATGGGCACACAAATACATAGAATGCACCATGGTATATGTGGGTGGGTGTGTGTGTTCAAATGGTCTGGCCAAGAAAATTTTGAGTGACATATAGAATAATGGACACTATCTGTCAAGTCTTCATCTTGCTGAAATAGCTTTTGGACATATCTTTTACAGCCTTTAGCAATAATTTTTTGCCTCAAACCCTTATTTACTTCAGCATCCATAACCTTTAGCAAGGCCATTATCTAGTTTTACTTGTTTGGAACATACACATTTTTATGCCTACAGTCCATTTCCGTGGTGGGCTCGTAAGAAAATTGTGTGTGATGTGCTAAAACCTCGCAGTCATGCTCCTGCTGTCAGCTTCAGTGTTCCACTCACTAACTCTCTGCACTGTTTTTATGTAAGTGAAGGCCTTCTGTTCTTGATGTAAGGAACTCTTGCCTCAGTTTTATTGTTGTGAACAAATGTTCTTCATTCAAATCATAGGCTATGGCACAGCTATTCTTTTAAGACTATTTTTTCTGGTGCTTATATGCACATTCCCATTCATATTTCATTTATACCAGTCCTAATATTTCTATTACAAGTGTCCACATCCAGCCTGTAATACCAAGTGATTGTCTACCTTAATGTACATCAAACCACTACATCAGATTAAATAAAACTTCATTATATTATCTTGTAGCAGTCTCCAAAGATATTACTACAGGAGTGCAGAAGAAGCTATATAGATTAAGTTCATGCAAGTGTGGGTGTAAATCTACCCCTTTCAGAGACGGGAAATGAGAAGTGTGTTATTCTGCATTACAACCCAATGGCACAGAATGATTTGTGGTATGATTCATAGTCATTATAAGACATCACTTTTCATTTATTTGTTACATGGTTGTCCCACTTTTACATCAAAAAAAACAGCCTTTGAGAAAGCAGGTGGCTTCAGAATCTCTTCTAATCTCTTCTGTTCACTATAAAGACTCTGCTGTGTTGACACCAGTAATGTACTTTAATTGTAAACTAAAATAAAAAATATCACTAATGTAAAACATTAGGATGGCCTCTGCCCTTTGCTGATATATCTGCCTGACTTTACAAATGACTTTATATGCAAGGGTTTGTGCCTTAGAGTCTAAAAAAAATAAGTTATGTTTATGAGAAGGCTGATGCCAGAAGTCATGAAGACCTTTGTGCTGACTTTTCCTTAGCCCTGACTGTTGTGCTGCTGGAGCTGTCCTGTCACTGGGGACCCAGGCTAGTGTCTCTTCACAGCCCTGTACAGTCCCAGACAGACATGTCAGACTGCCCTGTGCCACCTCAGAAGTCTGTAACACAGCACTGCATTGAACCCTCTAGATATATCCAAGGAAGACTGAAGAATTTAAATTCTTTTACACTTCCCTCAAGAGACGAAAAATGTACAGATACATTGTCTTTTCATTCCTTTCCCTGTTTTGACCTGTTCAATATCATATCACATGCAATTTGATGAAATTTGACATATCTAATTGGAAGCTGAGGCCTAATCAGTTGGTTACAGTTTAGTTTGTCATTAACTCATGTTCACCTAGTAGTAAGTAGTGGTTATGTCAACCGAGAAGGTGAATCATATTTTGGTTATTTGACCAATGAAGCCAAGTAGTAAATACTCTCTAAAGGTTGATTGTGCTTTGAATGTTGCAGGTGACATTGTTTTATCATTGTCAGTGGTTTCTTTTCTGTATCTGAATCTGAAAAGTGTTCACAGTTTTGCTTTCCTTGGAAGTGTGGCCTACAAAAAAAAAGTCAGTAGTGTCAGGGGTAGAAGAAAGGAACAGTCACAACCTGAGTCTCAGGGTGTCAGCTAGAGTGGAGTGCCTGTGGGCCAACATGGACAACTGAAGTCAAAATTAAGAGAATTTGTTCTTTATTGTTGACTTAATGTTGGCATTTAAGAATGAAGGCTTTTAAGCCTGAATGCAATCTCCTTTCACTAAGGTAACAGAAAGACTGGTGGGTACGTAGTTTAAGATAACGATACTGTAGATTCCCACTAGTAAATGGAGACAAATAGATATATCCCTATCTCTACTGACAGAGGAGAGAATGTGGCCTCTCAACTTAGTCCCTGCTTTTTGTTTTGCTAGTACAGTGGGGTTTTTTTGGTTAACATAAAGCAAAGTAGAATTTTTGGACCTTCAGTCCTGTCCTTCAAGGTGTTCCCCTTACATATTAGATACTGATGTAAGTTAATTTCTGTCAGCCCCATGACCTGCAGGTCACATTGTCCAGCAAGAAAGCCTTCCCATTCCTTTCTCATTTGTCATTCCCCTATAAGAAGTAAAAGGTTTAATGGCAGCTAAAACATTTTGGAAAGTAGCAAGTTTGCCGTCAGCTGGAAGGATGATAGTTTTTGCATTAAATGTATGCAATGTTTATTTTACATTCTCATGACAATTTATCTTCTAGTTTCAGCTGGAAAAGGTTCCTTGTGAATAAGTCTCTGGTGTCTCCATTTAAACCGAAGTGTCATCATAAAATGTTCCCAGTAAAATGGCATTAATTTATTAAACATGAAGACCATTCCCTAATGCATTTTGTAATTCTTTTGTTACCATTGAAACCAGGTGGTAAAAGCTAATGTTGCATAGTTTTGATTATAGCCAAGATACCATGTAATACTAAGATGAGATTGAGTATAACTCGATTATTCCTTTTGACATCCCATCCACAGGAATACTTTCTAATGGATTATGCTTTAGAATTTCAAGAAATACCTATTTTGTGAAGCTTTCTTGTCAAAAACATCACAGGGAATTACAAAATCCTGTAGCTGATTCATCTTATTAATTCAAATAAGACCTATTTCATTACAATTTTATGATGTCTGTCATTAAAGCTTTTATACTTGCTGCTTGTATCCTAATGCTGTGGTTGAAACTAGCACTGCATCAGAAAATGTAGTACAATATAATTTCTGAGTCATCTGTCACAGTGGTGCCTGGCTTGGTCATCAGCTGTCCTTCAGGAGCCCGTGGGAAGTGATGGAGTGAACTCCTTCGTATCCTGCTGGGGAGATGGCAGCATTGCCAAAACTGTCAGGGCTGACACTCCTTCAGTTGTCGAGACACAAAGGACACAAACCGAGTGGTCACATGCACTGCAGGCTTAGAGGTCAGGCCCGGGTGCTGCCTGCGCAGGGAGGGGAGCAGGTGTTGCTGTTAGAGCATAGCAGTACAGCTACTAGGAGTTCCTTTCTTTTTCAAGGAGAACGCTTTTATCAGCTCTCTAAACCAGCCTCTCTCACAAGCATTTGAAGTTGGAAAAGGTTTATGATTAGATTAGACAGGTTGGTTGTGAGAGCTTGTTTGAGGATGTCCAAGTGTCACAGAAACACTCTCCTCTGATAGACCATCCTGAGAAGTCTTTTCCCCTTGCCCCCTTGATAAGGTTACTCTAGTTAATCCTAAGCAGTACCAGCTGGTTCCATGAACATCTGTGTGTCAGTGTAGCTGTAGCCCTCAGTTAAACTGTCCCTACTGCCATGTTATCTCTGGGAGATAACACAGACTCATTCCCTTTCTGCCACCAGCTCCTACAGGTACATAATTAACTTCTCACCTGTATCAGTGATACATTTATTACTCTCCTGTCTTGTCCTGCTACTCAGGTCATTGATTAAATTAAAAAGCAAAACTCCACCTGTCCACTGCTTCAGGGGAGACATGAATGAGGTTAATGTTATTTGTCTCAAATGAGGAGTCCTCATGGGGCTGTAGGTGAGCTTCTTACTGATTACACCCTTGTGTGGCATATAAACTGAATTATAACCTATCCTTAGAGTGAAAAGTGTCCTGGGAAATTACATCAGTCTGGATACTGAAAGGGTTTAGGTATATATTTCGTGTCCTCTTTCAAATGGATCAGCAGGTTTTTATTTGTGCCTGTATTTTTAGACCAGTCTTATTGATTTTATGCCTTTTGTTGTTTCTCTGAGATTAAGAGGTATGAAACAGATGCTTTTCTGTTGTACATGAAAGTGAACTTCTTTTTTAAATGCTCAATGTGTTGCCTTCTTCACTCATTCAGACTCAAGTGAATGACACATAAGGAGAGGTCTTCCAAGGTTAGAGGTCTTTGAACTCATTAATATTAGCCATCATTCATTTTTGTGACACTCTTCTCACAATGAATTCAGGATGGCAAATCTGGGATCTTAACACTGTACATAAATACAACACTTATTAAATCCTATCCTTTGGTAGAGGGATGATTTTTAAAGTAGATCAAGAGCTCTGTGTTTCACAGTACAGCCTGCACAGGACTGAAGGCATCCCTGGCACAACCAGGAGCATTGTGTGGTAGAAAACTGCTATTGCTTTACCTAATTCAAGCAAAAATAATGGGGGGTGGTAATCCCTAGAGCAACCTTCTCTTGGTAAATCTACAGCTGTCCTCTGCCTTGCTAAGGGATTAAGGAAGGTCATTCATGTATTTTTCCGGCTATAATCTAAATTATAGTCAAGATAAAACCATCACAACACACTGTGGATACATTTGTTATTTGTTTTTTCTTAGTCTGGGAGGAATCCAAGGATATTTGCAGTCTTCAGGAAAAAAACAGCCAGAAAAAAAAAAAAAAAAAAAAAAAAAAAAAAAAAAAAAAAAAGAGGCAAACAAAGAAGTCCACCCGACTATTCTTTGTTGTTTTGTTTTTAAATCTTGGGGAATAGCTTTCCCTAGTTCATTAAAAGGAGTGAAAATGTGTTAGAGGCAAATCTGAGGCAATTTATTTAATTCTTAGAAAGTATGTACACAGTTCTTTAATTTTAGAAAGTATGTGCACCTTTCTTCTCCACTTAAGAATTTTTCCAGGTGTTTGAGGAGAGTGATCAAACAAGTAAAGCTACTGGAACCTGCAGTCACTTTTGGAAATCTTGGCCATCACTTGGATTTAAACAATGAGTTGGGAATGTAAATATAGCTCTAAATGGTTAAGACATTTTCTACATTTCTGACCATGGAAATAATTAGACCCTGACATCTCTATTTGCAAACAATATACTTTATCTTCTTCAACTCTGTTTCTTTAATTCTTGCTATACCTGTAAAGTATCTTACTTAACCAAATATGCCATAGGAGTATTGAACTTACATATTCAAAACCAAAATCTCAGCTGACATTTGTTTCTGCAAAACCTTGATGGCTTTAGCCCTGAGGCATAATTTCTCAATGCAGTTTTAATTTGCTACAATTGACAGTTTGTGAATTATTTTATGAAGTGGTTCTGTATACACAGACAAAGCATGCCTTCTGTTTCTTGCTGCAGAATGAATACCTTTATGAAGGTGTTGATGCAAGAGTTATAGAATACGAGGACAACAGGCCCCTCCTAGATATGTTCCTGCAGAAACCAATGGGTTTATTGTCTCTGCTGGATGAGGAAAGTCGATTCCCACAAGCAACAGATCAGACACTTGTAGGTAAGTATATGGTTCATTTCACAGTTTTACAGCTTGTCTTCTGTTCAATTTCTGTTTGGCATGTTCAGTTCAGACTACATGCTAGTTGTGCTTTTAGTGAGCCCCCATTTCAGTGTCACAGTGTGTTTGAGAGAGACATGAATGCTGGGATGGTTGTGCCCTTGAGGTTCATAGAGAAACATCAAGAGTGCAAATGAACATAAGCTGCTGATCCAGGTTTAAAGCTCTCCCACCTTCAGGAATTTTTGCTGCAGAGCTTGAAAAGTAAAGATCAAACTGAGTTAAAACTCTAGGTTCATAGACCAAGAACACTGTTTGCAAAGTTCAGCTGTGCTCAGCTCTGAGATTTTTGATGTGCAGTATCTGAGCAAGAAGTTTAATATGTTTTAAGAGTAATGACTGCAAACATGCTTCAGTGCCTTTCAGCAAATTATGCTTTCTGAGTGTTTTCTATTCACCAATTAAAATTAAAACACCTAAAGTCGTTGTAATTCAGATCCTGAATATTTCCGTGCTGTTGAGTGGCTGCAATTACCATTGATTTCATTATTTCAGTGGTATTTCTGTGCAGATAAATCCTGGATTTACTAATTTTTGAATGGGCAAAGTGTCAAATTAGAGTTTTAGCCAACACCCAATCAGAAGACCTAATAAAATCCCATAACAATGCCTATGTTAAAGTAATTATATGAGTTTGTTGTTCTTTTATCCTCATGCTTTTTAGCTACAGAAGCACTCAATCAGTAAATGTTATCATAACTTGATATCATAACTCCTCAAGTAATCCTTAGGAAAGATTTCTGCATTGTTTCATATATGTAGATTAAAATCTTGGAAAGGCAAGCCCTGGCAAACATATGTGGATGTGGCACCTGGGGACACGGCTTAGTGGTGAACAGAGTGGTGCTGGATTAAGGGCTTCAACATCTTTTCCTACTTTAATGATTCTATGATTTTCTGAGGTCACACATTAAAAAATGGGAACAAAGTAACTTGTCCAAGAGCCCTCATATTCTCTATCCAGTGTCTTTTGTTACAAGACCATTATGGTATCTCTGTCCCTGCAAACATCAGTGTCTGTTTTGTGCCTCTGCATTGGCTGAAAAGTCAGGAAATCTCCTTGGAGGGATATAGCTTCAGAAGACAATGATTGTACAGTAACTCCAGTAAGATAAGCTATGTGTTTCCTTTCAGAAAAATTTGAAGATAATTTGAAATCAAAATATTTTTGGAGACCCAAAAGAGTAGATCTAACCTTTGGAATTTATCATTATGCAGGAAAGGTAAGACACCTGATGATGTTAGTTGGGGATTGTGGAATGGTAGGGCTGGAAGGAAGTAGAAGAGGTCATCTGGGTTAGTTCTCAACAGTTGTCTCTTCAGTCTAGACATGGGAATGTTGGCAATGCCTTACATATCAAAAGTAAATTGAAAAGTTATTATCCCTCATTAAAAAAAAAAAAAAAACAATAGCAGGAGTGTATTTTTCTTAAATGTCACCAGGTAAATGAACTGTGTGTGTTTATAGAAAACCCAAAACATAACTGGCATGTAATGCAACTCAACACTCTTCCCCTTAGTTCCTCAAAGTCCTGCACCATGCTTGTTCCCACTTTCCCACTGTTTCTAACCAGCACCCTAGATCCATTCTTTCTACTACCTCCTACACACCATCAACCTTTCTTAGTTCTGTTCTTTGTCATCAGGCAGACAGAGAGTGCAGGCCCTGCTTCCTGCTTCATTCAGTGAGCAGCAGAGCAGCAGCATCCTTCCTTGCTTCCCACGCAAGGTGACTGGCTGCACGTGCTGTGCAAACACAGGAGGAGCTGCTGTGACACTGCAGCAGGATGGTGCTGCTCACCTGAACCTGCCTTGGCAAATCCGGGGCTCCCACCTTCTTCTGAGCTCTTCTAAAGGGTACAGAGTGAGCACTAATGTCTCACATGGGAAACCATGTTGGGTCTGTGCAGTGCTGGAGCAGCTGGGCTGGGAAGAGGCAAATACTGCCCATCAGCTGATGAAAAATACCTTACACCTTATATAATATAAGACAGCCAGCTACAAAGAGCCTCTTGTAACTCCTCTGAACCTCATCTCCAGCTGAGTTGCATTTCACCAGCATAGCATAACTCACTGCAAGGAGTGGAAAGCCAGTCTCCCTCTACCATTCCTGTTACCAGCCACTGAAGATGGGGACTTACACCAGTACCCTATCAGTGTTCAAAAAACTCTTTCATTAGGAAGTTTCTTCTGCTAACTTATGTCTTCATTGCTGCCATGCAAATTCATTACCCCTTACTGTGGAACTGGAGAACAATTTATTTCCTCTTCCTTTACAAGTCTTTTTCATCATTTAAGACTTTTGCTGAGTTGTTCTGTGATGGGTTTTTGTAACTTATATGTTCCAGTATCTTCTACCCCTCTTGACAGATCAAGTTTTCTTGTGAATCCCTTAGACCACTGAGATAGAACCCTGAAGTTGCATTTTTAATTAGATACTCCATTCTTGGAATTTTTAGAGACATTTCAGTTGCCAATATGCAGTTGGTAATTCTGCAAACTTCTCTACAATTAATACAGAGGTCCCTAGGAAGAATGTTAAGTCCTGGGTCCAGTACAGCATAATATGAATAGCACAGAAAGATTGTACAGTCATATGGGTAATGCTGTGTGATGTGGTTGAAATCAAGTGCCTTCTTAATTGTGCATTAGCACATGTACAGGTGTAAAGGAGGACTGCAATACACTTGTCCTGGTGATAAATCCACACAGGTTAAAACTACTATCTGCATTAGGAAAAATAGTTGTCTCAAGCTACTTTGGAATTATAGATTTTCATTTAGTGATTTGCATCATATCTCAGTATTGTAAAGGTAGAACTTTCAGTGATCAAAAAAAAAGACTAGAAGTGAGAGTGGGCCTGATAGCTGAAAAACTCTTTGTGTATCTTGTTAAATTCCTATTCCAGAAAGCTTAAATTTACAACTACTTTTCAAAATCCAAGATGTATAAATGCACTTTTTAAACAGGTTCTATATAATGCAAGTGGATTCCTAGCCAAAAATAGAGATACTCTGCCAGCTGATATTGTGCTGCTACTGCGATCATCTGAAAACAACCTGACACGACAGCTGGTAACTCACCCTCTCACAAAAACAGGTATTGCTTTGTGGTGATCTTCTTAATTTTTTCCAGCCATTGTGATGACCACTGCTAGGTTTCATATACTCACTCATTGATGACATTATACACTTTGTGGCTTCACTTTCCAACCATGCAATCTATACTGAATGGAGCTGCAGCCATCTCAAGCCACAAGGGAGATATTGGTCGGGTCAAGTGCCAAGGAAGTGGTAGAGATTTTTTTCAGGGTCCTTTCTTCAGGGTAGGGGATCAAGACAGGGAGTGGAGTGCATCTCTTGAGCTGAGGACTGAACAGGAAGGATCAGATAAGTCACTGGCCTGTTTTGAACAGGGCATATATAAATTGCCTCAGTGCAATTTATCTCTAAGTGGTAGAGAACAAAGGTTGGAGCTTCTCTCATCTGCTGCAAAGATTGAGAAGACACTTCTCTATTCACAGTCTTAGAGTTCTTTATGATAGATAACTGATGGGGTCCTTCTAGTAAGCTTTTCCTGAAGAAATTCATAAATAGAGGTGGAGGAATAAAACTGGCTCTACAGAAATTACTCCTAAATTGCACCTTGTTTAAACTATGTCCTTGCAAAGTGTCCTGCCTTCCATTGCAGGATGATGGGTAAGTTTCCTCACAACCAGTTTGTTACAGTGTTGTAGTACTCCCTGTGTGATGGCATTGATGCCATACAGTAAGTACTTTACAACATTACTTTCTTGTGTAATTACATGGGAGATATATTTCTAGCAGAAATTTCTAGCAGAAAAACTAAATTGAAAGTGCCTAATGGAAATGAAAATGTTATCATAACTTACAGAAGCTGAGGTTTTGGCAAGGCTTCTGTTCTTTACAAAGGGAGCTTTGCTATTAGAATGCAAAACTTGGTCTTAGAATTTTATTTTGAGAGTTCCTGGGAAAGCACAGAGCTCAATGCCCTTGCCTGAACTTTTTGGTGTGTTGATATCTAGTAATATACTAAACCATAATTTCCATAGAGTCCAAGTAAGCATCCAAATGGTTCCAAGAACTGATCCCAAGTCTTAATGTTTTGCAAGGTAACTATGAAGGCTGTTTTAGTCTTCTTGTTAAATATTGTGAAACACTGCATGTAGCACTTCAAAACTGGCTCAAACCTTCCAGCTAAAGCCAACTGAAAGTTAGGTTTCTGGTCTGTGTAATTTATCTAGAATCAGAGTAATTGTAGAGAATTACCCAAAGTCCAACCCATCTTCTTATCTCAGGTGTTTCTCTTGGGATGGGAAAAATCTCCTCTGAAGGTGTCTCTCTCCACTGAATACAGCAGGGATCCTGTAGACACCTCACTTTCACATAGCTAAAGTTAGCTGTGAGTAATCCTCTCTTTTTCCTTCCCACCCTGTGATATTCAGCTGAACTCCAGGGAGGTTTAGGCCTTGATATCATCACATAATACCAGATGCATTACCATGACACATATTTGCAACTGTTATTCCAACCCTTATCCACCTCTTCCTGATAGTAGCTGAGCACAGAGAGATACAGGCTCTCCCAGTGGAAGGGAGATCCCAGAGGTGTTATGTTATTAGCAGAAGCAGTGGCAGCATGCAGCAATGTTATAGTTTATCAACACTGAGAGACGTCAGAGAGAGATCAGCAGAATTTTCATAATTCCTTGAAGAGACCAGTGTCTGTGTAAAGCATGTCAATGCACCTAGTCCTTCAAAGTCATCATATGAAGGTATTGCTTGGCTTCGAATTCCAGAGTTAGAGCCTTAAGACTTTGTCTGTGCTAGTAAACAAAACAGAGCCAGTGAACAGTAGCAGAAGCATTCCTGCAGGGCTGCTCATTCTGATTAATGGTTAGAATGGCTCCCTGGGACAGTTTTGGTCCATGTCAGCTAGTAGGCACCCAGGAATACCCAGCCACACTTCAGAGGAAGGTGAGGCCAGTTATGGTTTCCAGCAAGTTCTGTGGAAAAATACAATCTTATTCCTACCAGGGGTTGAAAGAGTGGAAAAGAGTAGAGTTTAGGTGTATAATCTTGAGTCATGCCATGTCACTTTTCCTCAAGGCCAGAGAAGGGTATTAGCACATTTTTCTTTAACTAATACATAGCGTTAGAACTAGAATAGTACAGTAACATTCTTAGGGTAAAACCACATGGATGCTCTAAGGTGTATCTATCTTATCTTCTAGAAGAGTCTGTTTGTTTATTTTTTTATCTAGCAGATGACAAATGAGCTGAAGGAGAAAAAAAACATCATGTTCTGTGTTTATGCAACTTCTTCAGAGCTCATTCCATCCCAAGGGTTAAAGGGGAAATGAGGACATGCTCGGAAAAAGTCAATGACTTTATAATCATATGGTTACACTGGGGGCATGAATAAGGTGGTTCAGGATCATTCTTAGCTTAGATGAGATGTAAGCACTTTGGTAGGTTATTTTCTTTCATCTTCCCATAGGTAACCTGGCACACACCAAAAGCAAAACTACGATCAGTTATCAAATGTGGACCTCCCAAAAATCAATCAGTCATACAAAGGTAAGAAAACAGATTTTGTGATTCTGCATTGAAGCCTAATTTAAACTAGAAAGGCAGTAGCTGTTTTGGTATTGAAAGTAAGCGAGTAACCCCTTCCTTGGTTTTTCTCCCTCTTCTATTTTCTTTTCTGTTTAGCTGGATATCTTTGTGTTGTGCAATTCATATTCCTTCCGTGAGGTAAAAACCTAACATATCCCTTCTTTCTGGCTATGTTTTATAACAACTTCAGGGGGAAAAAATACTATTTCCCAGCTGTATTGTAGCAAAAAGAGAAATTAAAATATTGGTGTAGAGTATAGCCACACTCCTTAGAAAACTATCAAATTAACAGTGATGATGAAATAAGAGACTTGACCTCAGACATTATCCAGTTATTTGTGGCAGTTATTAGATGCTCTGTTGCCAGCTCGTGCTCTTTTTGTGTGTGAATGTTTGTGTATTGTGTAGCAAAGTACCGGTGTAACTGATTTGTGCTAGTGATCATGCTGTAACTTTTGCTCTTTAGAATACTTTTTAATTATTTATATTCTCTGAGGGGTGCTTTCTTGGGGCATTGGAAAGGGTACTGCAGGCCCTTAATTAGAGATAAAAAGTGTGATTTTTTTTCCTTCATCTTTATAGAATGAAGCAGGAGATACTGGACATCATCCAAGAGAAACAACCAGCATGAAAACACAGACAGTTGCTTCTTATTTTAGAGTAAGATATCAAATCTTTTAATAAATATTTCTAGAGTACAAAAAGTGTTTATTCTTTTACTTTTTGAAATGCACCCATTGAGTTAGAGTCAGTAGTGATCCACTTAGAGTTTATGAACTGTGTATATGGTGCAGCAGTCTGTTCAGTACAAATATCTCGAGGAGATTGTGATGTTTAGTCTTTAATTGCACTTGATTACACAGCCACATTGCTGTCTTGACAGTGTATGACAATCAGTATTAATCTTTCACTTGCTTGTTTTTCCATGAAATAAGATAAAGGGAGATTGGACATTAGTGGTATAGCATTTCCTTAAGAGTTCAAGAAAGAGAGAGAAGTTAATTGGAAGCAGGAGTTCTTGATGGTCACTGCACAGAGGCTGCCCAGAGCTCATCCTTGTGGCTCCTTCAGCAGTGCTCTGGACCTTCCCAAGCACTGGCTGTGCTGCTGGCCCTAAAAGAGCAAATAGCAGTGAAGAGCATCCTTTCCTCTGAAGTGGCACACAGAGCTGGTTATGCTTTGAATTTCCAACTCTTGTTTAGTCTTCTCTCCCAGCAAACCATAAAAACCATAAAGTGGCTGAAGGGATGTTCATGATGAATTCAGTGCACAGCTCAAAGGAATACCAAGTTTGCTGATGACACTAAATTGAGAGGAGCTCTCAACTTCCTTAAGAGCAGAGAGGCCCTGCAGAGAGACCTCAACAAATCAGAGGGATGGGCAATCACCAACCATATGACAATTCAGAAAGATAATGGCCAAAGTCTACAACTGGGATGGGACAACTCTGGTTGTGTGTAGAGACTGGGGAATGAGAAGCTGGAGAGCTGTGCGACAGAAAGGGATCTGGGGGTCCTGGTCCACAGAAAGCGGTGCCCTGGCAGCCAGGAGGGCCAACCCTGTCCTGGGGGGCATCAGGCACAGCATGGCCAGCTGGGCAAGGGAGGAGATTGTCCTGCTCTGCACTGGGGTTGCCTCACCAGTTTGGGTGCCACAGGGTAAGAAAGAGATTAAAACAGAGAAGAGCATCCAAAGGAGGGCCATGAGGATGGTGAAGGATCTGGAGGGGAGCTATATGAGAAGCAGCTGAAGTCACTTGGTCTATCCAGCCTGGAGAAGTGGAGGCTGAGGGAAAACCTCATTGTTACCTTCAACACCATCACAAGGGGAAGAGGAAAGGCAGAACCTGATCTTTTCACTCTTGTGACCAGAGACAGGACATAAGGGAAGGGCACGAAGCTGAATCAGGGGAGGTTTATGTTGGATGTGAGGAAAAAGTTCTTCATCCACTGGGCCCTGGAACCAGCTCTCCAAGGAAATGGTCACAGCACCAGTCTGACAGAGTTCCAGGAGCATTTGGACAATACTCTCAGGCACATGCTGTGATTCTTGGGGTGTTCTGCGCAGGGCCATGAGTTGGACGTGATGATCCTGATTAGTTCCTTCCAAGTCAATATATTCTATGGTTTTATGACCTGTAGGAGTTCACTTACATCTATGTCAGAACAATGAGGAGCCAGATCTCTCTTTTTTACATACAGTTGCGCAGCTCTGTGGACTGTGAAGGATAATTTCAGTTTAGATACCACAGTGGTCCAAAGCTATATACTGTTTGGATATTCTAGATGGAAAAAAATATTGAATCTCATTCAAATTAATGTCTGTGATTGAGTGCATTATCAGCACTTCTAGCATCAGAGGCTGCAAATGAGTTAATTATGTTTACACTTTTCTGATACTGTTTTCTGCCATGGACATCCTTGCTCAGATCATGATGGCTAATGCTCTTAAATTCACCTTCAGCCCCACTGGTTTACTCATACACAGAAATCTATGGTGACTGAGAAAAGCATATGCTACCTCAGACTGCATGGAAAAAAAATATATCCATTAACGTGTCCTACTTGTTTGTGTTCAGTTGGCACACTGGTGATGGAGCTAATTAAGCACTTTGCTGTATGGTGCAGCTTCTGTCCAGAACAGAATTGCACATTTTAATAGGAAACATATGGCTCTTGACGTCCTACACTGGTTTCATGTAACCAACCTACTGCTGAGCTGCATTACCTCCTGGCTGCTTCTTTCTTTTGAGTCAGGTTGAATCTTGAGGAATGAGCCTTTTCATTTGTATTTTAATAAGATATTCCCATGGAACAATTTTTCAAAACACCAGTCAATGTCAGATTCCCTTCAGCTAGAATGGGGAGCTACAGGCTGCATCCCCTCTGCTAGCCTGGTACTCTGGTGAGGTGGGAAAAATGCAACTTTGGAATTGTGATCTTCTAGCTTTTCCCTCCTTGGAAGTTTCCTCTTGGCAAGGCAGTTACAGTATCACCATCAGTCTGTACAATGAACAGGACACACCAAGATCAGAGCAGTTCAACCAGCCCTTCTTCTGGGGTATCCTTAGTTTCCTCCAGTCTAATGCAGGAATTGAAATATTTACTGGGTTGCTGCTGTTCCACTTCCCATCCATAGATGGATGATTTACTCTCTGGGTGAATAAGGGTCTTCAAATAGGTGACAACAGTAAAAAGAAAAATGGCTGTAGTTACCTAGCAAAGCTCCAAGACAAGCAAGTAAATGTAAGGAATGTAAGTGTTCTGTGATATGTTGGACATCATGGAAATCTGTGAGAATGTTCTGGATGAAATTTGGTACATTTTTTTGGAATCAGTGTTTCTCTCAAGTAGTATACACTATTAACTTAGAAAAACTAGAATTGTTTTTAGGTCATTTACTTCGTCTACTCTTAAATATCAGCTTAATGACATGTACATGGTTTTAGATATGATTCTGATCATATGAAATGAAATTTCAGCTACACATGGACTTATATACCAGTTTCATAAGTACCATGGTGACAGATCTCTTGTTACTTTTTTGCAGTATTCGCTGATGGATTTGTTATCCAAAATGGTCGTTGGCCAACCCCATTTTGTCAGGTGCATCAAGCCAAACAACGACCGGCAGGCAAACAAGTTTGACAAAGAAAAGGTTTTGGTTCAGCTGCGTTACACGGGAATTCTGGAGACAGCGCGGATTCGAAGACAGGGTTATTCACATCGTATACTCTTCGCTAACTTCATAAAACGGTAACATCGACATGAAGAAGCTCTTTTCTCTCCTACCTTTGCCATCCAGTGCTTGCTAAGCACCAGCAGTGTTTTTGGCATGTTCTTTAAAAAAAAACAAGGACATTTCCTGTGACAAAGAAGGTTAGAGACTGGATGACCAAGAGTAGTTCAGGCACAGTGTTTTTGATGGGTAGGGAAAGATGATGAATCACAGAATGATTTTTCAGGCTATCTGAGCATTTGGGTAGAAATTTACTTGCTTATACTCTGCAATTTTCTTCAAGGACTTGAGTATTAGAAATGTCTTATTTCAAATTAAAGTCAAGAATTTGCAGCCACAGCATGCAAGGAACACCACAGTTTCTCTAGCTCCCAATCCGGAGCACTGTGCAACATCTGTCTGTGCAGGGTAGATGCTAATTTAGGATTCCTGGTCTAGGGATGACAAGTTCATTGAGTGCATAATGTTGTTTAAAACATAATTCGTAAGTATTATTTAAGAAGCAGAACTCGGTGAACTCAGTGTAGTTGTATTATTCCTTTAACTACCTTCTTCCTCCATCCCAAAAGTCTGCACTTCTCTCTTACAAATAAAGACCATGAGCACTTGTCTCAATCAGAACAGAGTTGTGTGGAATGGAGATCAAAACTGGGATGAAGCAAGCATCACCTATTTAGACAGAAGCATTAGAAAGAGAGAGCAGTAGAGTGCTGCAGGTGCATGAGATGAGAGGGGAACAGCAAAGGGATGTTTTTAAAGCCCTCTTTCTGGAAAAAATAATCCTCGAACTGTTGCTGTTTTGGAGGAATGCAGCTTTTAGATGGGTGCAGCATGGAAAGAGATAGTTATCACTACAAGATGTGCTGTAGCTCTTGGTGACAGCTTTTTATTAAAGAAAACCACCCAAACTTAACTGTTCAAGTAACATAGATAAAAGCAGTAAACATAAAGGGGTAGTTCTCTAGAGACTGTGCCCCTGATTACAGTGAGGCTGGGCAGATCTCTGGCACTGAGGACATGGCCCTCAAAAGAAAAAAGGATTTTTATTAAATGTATGTCTTATTTTGCATTTGTTTGGTTTTTTTTTTTAATAGCTGAGAGTTACGGGTAGACCTGAGATAATGGCATCATTATTTGGTTTTAATAAAAATAAGCCAATTCATTGTGTTTTACCAAAAAAAAAAAAAAGGAACTGTAGGTGATAATGAATTTTTTATTATTCCATGAGCAAACTGAATAACAAGAAAAAAGCAGAATGTACTGTCAGGAAGTACACATAATTAATGTAATTTTCTTAAATTAAAAAGTCAAGATAGAGATGGTTCATTTTGTTGTAGGGCATTTTGGAAAGTCCTGGAACAAACAAGTATTTTCTATCCAGCAGCTGAGCTGGTGTATCACAGGTAATTTTTATGAGTGAGCATCGTGAACTCTGTTCCTAGTCAGAAATAATTCTGAGTAATGAGTTTGCCAGTTTAAGTGCTTACAGATGATGTGTCACAATGGCACTTACATGTTCCAAAAGAATCTGCAAAACTGATTCCAAGGAGCTAACAAGAGCTAGGATGCATCTCAGGATCTATTGAGATATCAAGTGTCTCGAAGGTAGACGGTCTAACACATGAGACAAGATAGGCAATTTTTGTGGAATTTCTAAATGCAAAATAATATAATTTAGGCAGAAAAGCTTTTAAAATATTTTATTTTACTTTTATATTACCACTGAAATCACTTTCACAGAATGTAGTGAGCAGGAAAGAAATGGTGTGCTATTTTACTTGGGTTGAATTCTTTTTAAAAACCTTCTGGTGTTGGTATAGAATTAAAAAAACTCTCCAGGCTGTGCAATATGTCACTCATCCACTTTTGACTGAGTTTCTTAATACTTTGTATAAATAACTGCACTTGCTTTCATATGCTGTTTTGTCTTTTTCAGTGCTATGTTTTCTTTCATTTAATTGTTTTTATTACTTAAAATAATTGTTTAAATGTATTTCCATGTATTACCCTCCATTAATCAAATAAAGAATCATGCATTTGTCTTTAGGTATTACCTCATCTGTTACAAAACAAATGATGATCCTCCAGTAAGCCCAGAGACCTGTGCTGCCATCTTGGAAAAAGCCCACCTTGACAACTGGGTCCTTGGAAAAACTAAAGTAATTTTTTAATATACTGTATCTTCTTCATTCCAGTATGCATTGTTAACATAGTAAACAATTTGTTTTCTCACCAGTTTGGTTAGAGTAGCTCTTGGTCTTTACTCTTTTTAAAAAGCAAAGTCCTTAATATATACCAGGAGTGTGTTAGTGACCCTTGTGCTGGATTCACTTTTCAGGACTTATGTGAGTTCCATGCTTGATAAAAACAATTTAGTAAATAAACTATGCTTTACATTTAAAATTGGGAAACTGAAAAATTGAAGGTTCCAGATTTGGATCACGTTTATGCAACGTACATTAGATTTGTGAGGTTAGCAAAACTGTCAGCCTTGTAGTTTTGAAAATAGATTTATAGTTACAGACTGAAGTTTTGCACTGGAACTTTAAAAAATCTTGCCATAAACAAATTAATAAGCAGGGACTGACTAAAGATGCTGAAGAGAAGAGTAAGGTAAACTAATATTCCAAACAATGAAAATGCTATCTCAAAGAATGATCCTTTAGGTACTACAACTGAAGGGTCTGTTCATCATTTGAAACCAACTTGTAACTCTTGTTGATGTTAAATGTATTGAGTCAATAAAGGGCTGGGAAGGTAAATAAAACTTTTGTTTGTTTCTCTTTTTAAGGTATTCCTCAAATACTATCATGTGGAGCAGCTGAATTTAATGCGGAAAGAAACAGTTGACATGATTATTTTGATTCAAGCGTATGTCAGAGGGTGGCTGGGTTCGAGGAGATACAAAAAGATAAAGGAACAGAGGGAACAAAGTGCTATTAAAATACAGTCAGGTAATAGCTTTAAAACATTTAACATTTTTCTTAAAGCTAGTGCATGTGTACAGTTGATAGATGAATGTGCATGCTGAATGTGGATTTTACTCTTCTCCTGCTGTTACATTTGACAAAATATCTTATACTTGGTCTTATCTGCTCTTATGAAGAAATATTTCTTTTAACCAGATTATGACAATCTCTTTACTGAAATTACATTTATCAATGTTATATTTAAAAGGCAATTTTAAGAATGGAAGGATGTGATTGCACAGTTGATACTCTTATTAATAATATTCTGGCATGCACTGACAAGGTTGTATAATGTAATAATGAAAATAAAATATATTAACTGTCCTAGATAATAAGGCCAATTACCCTGTTGATGGAGGCATCAACTGATTTTTTTAATACTTTCAAACATAATCTTATTTTACATTCTGATTATCTTGTGTTTTATATTCATTTATTTCATAATAACTTTATTCACCAGAAGATGTATTTTTATGTAGATTTACTATTTGTGCTTGTTTGCTATGTTTTTTTGAAACATAAAGCCTGCAGAATATTTATTAACATTTTAATAGAGGTCTGTAATTCCAGAATATTTTAATTATTTTTTGTACCCGGTGGTTTACCTAGTTTTTAACATCTCTTTTCAGCTTACAGGGGGTTTGTTGCTCGTAAAGAATACAAAAATGCAAAGCATAATAAAAAAGTGGAAGAATACATTACCAAATTTCAAGCAAGTAAGAATTGTTTGCTTTCTTGGCTTTTAATGTGCTATCCATACACAATGTTGACCCAGATTCTTGCTACACTGATTGACTATGCTCATTTACATATTCTGCAATTTATCTATTATATGTCTATATACAGTGGCTGAAATGGATCACTGTATTCTGTTACGTGTAGCTCAGAGTGATTTAGGCATTTTCCACTGCTGTGATGTAGGATGCTCAAATGGCATAGCTAAACCTTGTCACTCCTAGTCTGAGTACTACAGCTGCCCAGCTATGGGTATTGTTGAAACCCACATAGCACTGTCTGCATATCATGTGTGTGTGGGTGCTGCTCAGTTAGGAATAGGGTTTGTTATGTGTCAGTAATGGTTATATTTGGGAAGACTGCAAGTTGTAAATTCAGTCGTGTCTCTTCTTTTTTGCCATTGCTTTGTTTCTCTTTTGCAGCCATAATGACCCTGGGCCCAGGTGTTGCTATGGGACACCCCTTTTTCCTCCCTGTACTTTGGTCTCCCCTGTCCCTGCAGAGACATCCCCAAGCTAGACATGGTCTAGGCAGCTCTGAAATCAGGAGCAGTACAGCTGGAGAGATACAGGACTGAAGGCCAGGCTGGATGAGGCTCTGAGCAATCTTGTCTAGTGGAAGGTGTCCTTGCCCATGGCAGTGGGGTTGGAAGTAGATGATCTTTAGGATCCCTTTCAACCCAAACCATTCTATGGTTTTATGATTCTATAAAAACAGCTGGCACAAATCTGCACAGCATTTTCAGTAATTACAAAGGTGGAAACCCAAATATAAGCTAATGTTGCCAGTACCCAGGCTATTTAAACAACCCCAAATATGCCATCATGAGTATATACCACCACCAGTGTTGGTTTAATACTTGTCAGATGCATTTGTTAAACCAGTGTGTACTGAAGATCACCTCACTGCAGTTGGTAGAACTTCATCAGTGTAGAAAACAATCTAAAACCAGCATAAAACCCAGTAATGAGTCAAAAATTATTACACATTTGAACGCAGCCAATTATATTAGGATATTTAGCAAATACAAAAGCATAAACTTAGCACTTCACTCTGTTAATGTCCCAAATGTCCACCTTCTCTGTCATGTCTGCAGCTGGATTTCAACTTTTTCAGTGCACAAGAAGCCAAAACTCAAATGAAGTCCATTTTTACTTAGCTCTTTCCATTCCCCCCGACCGCCACCCCCCCCATTTATTTCTAAAGCAATACAAAACTCCTCTTCCCGTTTGAAAACAAAGCTTAGACAGGAACTATATAATTGCTTTGTTTTTTTTAAAGTTTTAAAGTTTTTCTAGAAGTTTTTTATGTCTTCTAATGTTTACATATTTTTACTAGAGTTCTCTCGCACTGTCATGTGCGTGAATGCAAAAGGATTGTTTTGCATTCTTCTTTGTAGGAGGAGAAAATTAATAGACTGTTAGTTTGACTAGTGTAGTGGGAGAAGTAGCAATTTCATCCTCTAATTCACTGTCACTTTTAGAATTCTATATATTGTGGTCAGAAATAAACTTCCTCTTTTTCCCTCTTTTACATCTAATGAGTGTGTGTGAGTTATTATATGTCGTAGTGCAACACTATATCATTACAAACTTCTCAGAAAACCTCAAAAGTGAACAAGAATAGTATAAAAAGACCAGATGCATCTTATATTGTCATGCCCATTGATAACTTTATTTGTTTCAAAACTACTCCTGTTGAGTTGCTTTTACATGAAAATGGAAAGAGAATTGCCTCAGAAATCCAAGAAACTCAAGAAGTGTTCCAAGTGCTTTACAATTTCCACTTTTCTAAGACTCTGTCAGACTGCAATATAAAATCCAGTTGTGCTGCTTCCAATAAGTATTTGTGTTTCTTTGTCCTATATCCAGTTATCAAGGTGTAATTTATGCCCATTTTATATGGTGCTTCTTACATTGATTGACTGCACCTAGTGGAGCCCAAGCTGGTCTAAGTTATGAGCAGGGAATGCTAAAGCACATAAAACTTAGCACTAAATTATATTAATGTGTTGGAACAGACTGTTAATGCTCCCTTCTTATTTTCAAGTGAGTTTGACCTTTTCACTGTGATGCAAAACACTCTCAGCAGAGTTGAAGAAAGAGTCCTATATATACCATGTCCACAGGATATTTAAGTCACCTGAATCCACTATCCCCATATCTTGGTACTGCATTTGGTATTACAGTTCAACAGAAATATTTTGACAAAACACTGTGTTATTTTTATTTTGCCAGGGATTAGCAGATTTGTGCTGAATCCCTGGAATTGCAGATTTTTCCAAATGACAGCACTGTAGAGACTGTGCCAGTTCCCATTAAGAAATTATTTGCAAGTTCAAAAATTTTTGAAGCAAGATTCTGAATGCAATTCAGTTTCTGATTAGGACACTTCAGTGTAGATGTCTAAGTGTGATTTAGGTATCTAAACTGCTGTTATAGTCCATAGAGCCTAGGGTTTGAATAATTTTATTCAAAATCAGCAAATGCTCAGCTCATTTGCCCTCATACTGGTATCTAGTGTTATTCGAGGTGCCCTGGTTATCTTGTCTGGCCTCCAGCTTTCTTTCACCTGTTATACCCAACTTTTCCTGTCCAGAAAGTCCCATCTGGCCTGTTCTTTCCGCCAGCTCCATGTGGATGCTTTGCTGTCCTGGAGCACTTCAGATGGCACCAGATACCAATGTGCTAGCAACTGCATCAAGGCCCCATCAGCACCTACATGGCCCAGGGAAGGCCCATGTTTGAGTCCTTATTTCTGGTTCAGACCAGAAAATTAATCTTGTGCCTCCCACAAAGCACAGGTAGGGAGTTTCTCTGCCACAGTGCACCTGGTTACTGTGGAGCTTAGCACATCTTTCATGCTGAGCCTTTTCATTTTGAATAATCAGTCTTTGCAGAAGGAGCATGAGCTAAGTCTTCTGTAACTGCTGAGCTATAAAATTCCCAGTTTCTCTCTGATATATTGAATGTTCAGCTAATTCCAAGCCTGTGCCAGCTGACAGCCTGGTAATCTCTATAGCCTGGTAATGAAGCATTTCCCATGGAAATGAAAGACAGAGTTAAATCAATTGCCTGAATCAGGCAAAGCAGGTACATTAAGCTCTCAGTACTGTGTTCTGGAGGCATTTGTATAGCTCTGTGCTTCTGTTTTATTCTACATCTTCATATATTTTCTTTAGTCCGACAAAATATGAAGAGCTTGTTTGTATCCTCATGTAGAATGGGTACAGCTTTCTGAAATCTCAAAAAATTTTATGGGAATCATTTCAGATGAAACATAATCATAATAGGCACCCTGGTCTATATATCCTTGTTAGCTTTTGTTTAATGCTGTTAGTATTTGACTGTCTGAAATGTGTGTGGCACCCATTGCTTGTTGCCTAAGGTTTTTTTGCATTACAATTTGTACCAGTTGCCAGAGGATACTTACTCAGGAAGAAGAGAAAAGAACTAACTGAAACAAGAAACAAAGCAGCAATAAGCATTCAGTCTCACTACAGGGGATATAAGGAGAGGAAGGTCTTCAAAAGCAAGAGGTAGTGTTGTTTTCTCTTCTGTCATTCAAATGTGTCCCTTTCTAGTAATTACAGCACTGAATAACAACATTATAAGATAAGAGTGAAGAAAATTAGGATTATTCTATATATATATGCAGAAGTAATGTATATTTATGTGAAGGTTTTTAATAGTAGCCAATATTCTTATCTTTTCAAGCCCAAGGAATAAAGGCACATCAATAATACTGTACCTACCTGTAATGTTAATGTAATCTATAGATGAGTCTCTTTTTGGAATTAGCTCATCATAAAAAAATGTTCAGACAAGAATGAGATATCTGCAAGGAACTGTTCTCATTTTAAGTCACTGTTCAAGATAAGCAAAGGTAATGACAGAGGAAACACAGAATACCCTTAGGATTGTATGTATATATACATTCTTGAAATGTTAAGAGGTTTATGCCTTATGTTTTTGTTAACATTTAAATTAATTCTTTACTGTTTTATCAGCTCTCACACAACCTAGATTGTCTTTCTGGCAATTTTCTGTTAATTTTAACAGAGATGTCCCTTTTAACTTAAGAGATGATAATGTTGATGATAATAATATTATCCCTTTTCACTTTAAGAAATAAAATAATAATAATAATAATAATAATAATAATAATAATAATAATGAAAATGCTATCTTTAATTCCAGCTATATGTACTAAATCTTTCCTATGTTGCAATGTATCAAATTTCCAGTTAGTACACAAAGACCACCAAAGGTAGTTGTAAAGTTGTCTCTATTCTTCATCTCCTTCAGCTGTAATTTTTGCCCAAAACTCTGTTCTGTTCAGGGAATCACTTAGAAATCAAGAAATTGAAAATGCAGCAACCATTAGCAAGAAGGAAAATGATGGAGAACTTCAAGATCCCAAGGAAAGTCCAACTGAAGTGGAGAGTGCCCTCCCTAGAACGGAAGAAGAAGCAGCTGCCATAGCAGAGGATGAATTATCTGCTGTGGAATTCCTTGAAGCACAACTGCAGCCAGCTCAAAATGATACACTGGAAGAAGTAGCAAGTGAGGAGACTCAAGATGAACCTGATGCTGTCACTGACAGCAAATGCTCAGGGTACAGTGACACAGGGAATGGAGAAGAGCAACTGCAAACATCTATTGAAGGAGAGGCAGCTTCTGTGAAACAGAACCTGGCAGTAGAAGAGGTTAGTGAAAGTGAAGAACAGGACTCTTTGGAAGAGTTACCCAGCAAATCTTCTGTCAAAACCTCAGCTGAACCTAGACCCCAGCAAGAGCAAGATAATCAAGACACACTCACTGCAGACTGGCAAAATCAAGAATCTGCTGTGGTCCAGCCCAGAACTGACAGGGATGTGGAAAGAAGCTACTTAAAGCGTGAAGCAACAATGCCTACAGGAGGTAAAGGAATCACAAGAAAAGAGTCACTAAGAAGAGGCTCATGGAAGCAAACTGAGGCAGAAAAACAAGGTCCAGAAGACAAAGAGAAGGCAGCAGTAGTAATTCAGAGCAATTACCGGGGTTACAGAAGGAGAGGACAACTCAGAAAAGAAGGAAAACTACCTTGCAAAAGTCAAGAGAAAACAATAAAGGAACCAAAAGAAGCAATACACGTTCAAAATAACAATCCCCAAACAACAAAAGGTAGGGAATGCACCAGTACAGAAGCGGAAGACTCTAAGACACTGAAGGGAGACTCAGAGAAAGAGGCTTGTGATTTGGCAGCCTTTTCACGACAGGTAAGAAGCTTGTAAGCTGTGTAGATGGAGCACAATACTCTGACCAGTGACAGAATGGCAAAGTTATTTTACTGACTTCTATGGCACAAAGATTTTGCTCTCTCAACTAAGACAGAGACTTTGTAATGTATGTTCTATGAAAATGAGTATTTTGATTTGCAAGAGAAAACAGCCTTTTCAGGAAGGAGGAAAAGTCAAAGAGTACTGGCAAAAATAATGTTAATCTGATTTAAATTAAATGCAGAAGCTTTGTCTTTCAAATGTTTGTTTACCCATCAAGGTCCCTAATTCAGTACACTTGTGAAATGACCCTGTAAATGAAACTAAAGTTGCTGTGCCAATGTCAAAGACTTGCACATGTGCAGAGAAGTATGCCTACAGCTGTAGAAACAATCTTGCATCAGCAAGGCACCATCAGCCCATGTGTGTGAACCAATGAGAAGTAGCTGTAGGACTGGACTACACTGTTGAGTTTCCTATGTGTCAGTGTTGAGTTTCCTATGTGTCTTTTTTTTCCCCATCTTCATTTTTTTCAAGAAATGAGGAGTTAAATGTGGTGGGGTGTGCACTGCAGTCGATGGGGCAATACCTTTTAGATTAACTTTCTAGTCCACTATTTTACATTTGATTACCTTGGAACATGTATACTTACTTCTATAATAATGTAAAAATATGTTTTTCAGATATCAAAATTATCTGAAGATTATTTAGCATTGCAGCAAAAACTGAATGAAATGATATTGTCCCATCAGCTGAGACCTGTGATGATGCCCAAAGATAAGCAAGCTAATGGCCGGCTTTCTTCTCATGTTTGTCAGTCAGGTAATGTTTAACCTTACTGTTGGCAGAATTTTCATTTGTAAACAGGACTGAGAAGAAGCTACTCCTGGTCATGTCAGGGAGTATGACAAGTAGCTGAGTTAATTCCAGCTTCTCTGGCTGTATATTTTTGTACTAAGTCTCATATCAGCACATGTCTGGAACATAGTTTCCAGAGAAATACCCAAACCTGGTTGGGATTTATGTATTTACCAATTTTTTTGGTCTTTTGTTCAGTGCTGCTTAGGATTGCTGAATGAATCTAGACACACAATCTCTAGGAATACTTTTATTTGGTAAAATTCCATATTGGCTCTTGTAAACTCAGTTGTCTCTCAACTGTGTGTGCTATTGGTATGATATGGGACTATGCTTTCAAAACACAACAATTTTTTAAGTAATATGTCAAAAAATTTACTAAAGTTTATGACATATATGCTGAGTGAATTTTTAGCTATCCACAGAAACAACTGAGGTTACTCAAAACCTGTAACTCCTACCCATGTTGGTGGGTATGTTGCATGTATTGCACGTATTGTAATTGCATGTAAAGTTTTATTAATATTCATCATCCATTTAACTCACACACTGAAGAGGGTGTGATCTTTAGAAATATACTCCAGAGTTATTTATATTCTGGTTAACATGGATAGTGAAGGTTTCCAAAATGCAAGCATGCTTGAAGCAGCTTGGGTGGCAGTGGCAAAGAGTACTGGGAGAATAAAGAGGACATGGGATTCTGAGCATGCAGATCATTAAGACCTGAACTCCACCAAAAGGACCCCAAAGAACTGACAGAGCTGTTCAGACCTCTTCTGTTGGAATAGAAGTAATTTTCTCAGTTCATGTCCTGGGCTGCAGATGTAGAGGATGAGGGCAGATGTGGCAGATAACTGGCTGTGTCTCTATTTGTGTGGCAGGGCTTGTGTGAGCTCACTGCATTGCCTCTGGGGAAGGGCTGGGATAAGATCTAGGACTGTCTCTCACTGCCCAGGGCTAGTTGTGCTATTTTCATTATAACATTGTGGATTCAGTTGTCATGAGTGATGAAATTTCTTTCTGTTCCCATGACTACATTGAAAAGATCTTAAAATTATTTCAATCCCATTTTGGAGTCCTCTCAAATGGGCAAGCTGCTAAAATGAGGGCTTGGTGTTTACACCTCTAAGTGCAAACCAGCTGCTGGTAGGTAATCTATGTAGTTCAGCCTGTTTCCAAGACCAAAGTCTGCAAGAGAAAATAAATGGGAAATGGAAAACTAAGTGCTATGACCTTTCATTAAAGACAGAGCAAGGTTTGTGATTGTCATTAATGGTCTTATATTAAGTTCTCTACTAAATGCTGCTGGTTTTTTTACAAGATATACCTGAGAAGTTAAAAATGTATGCTTTGAAAAACACCTCTTGGTTCTAACACATTTTCCAACAGAAGCTAGAGAAAAGAGGCAGATAGAAGGAAAGTGAATATACAAATGCTTGTTTTATCAGTTAAAGATCTCATCACTTGCACGAGTGAACCAGGTGAAAATGTACCAGTATGTTCCTGCCATGCGCAAAATGCAGTGAAGTCTACCCTTCACACTGCTATTAATTTAAGTAGCTATACAGGAGATAAAAGCTTGCCAGGGTTTGTCACCTCTGCATCCAAGCCTGCCTAAAGGGGTGACCAGTCAGCCACTTCACTTCCCTTTTTCTCTGAAAATGTGACGCTGCTGTAAAACCCTGCGGTGTCACAGTGCAGAAGCTTTCCAGTGGTGAAGTGTGCTAACCTGTCCACTGGAAAACCTTTATTGGTGTGGAATGTGAACTTTCTTTTTCTACAGTTGAACGTCATTCCCATGACAGGAAAGCTGCTTCTTTTCCAGCTATGATCAATGCACAAGATAGTGAAGAAAATATACTGTAATAATTCCACAGTTTCCCTTTCAGCCAGTTGGAAACTGGCTTTATCACAAAGCTGCATTGTCTTAAGTAGATGTTTATCATATCAAACATGATCTAACTAGATGCAGAGAATATTTAGGTAACGATATGCCTGTGTTCAGTTCATTTAATTTGTACTATCTAAAACAAGAGTTACCAACATTCTGGATATCGTATTTTCTTCCTCTTCACAATATAGTAAAATATCTACAAAACCCCCAAAGATTTGAGGTAAGATTCTGCAGATGGTCATGCTAAAGTGAAGCAGGTAGACGAGTGTTACCGTGAGCTCATGGGCACTCTGTGCCCCCTTCCCCAGGACCCTGTGACTCTGATCAAGATAACCCTGGACCCCTCCTTTCTGCCCCAACGGGGTTGGCGGAGAGCCAGGAAAGCCCACCCTGTCCAAAGTCTATATAGACCCCTGAGATTTCCTGTTCATTCTCTTTTGCCCCGCTCTCCCCAAGGACATCACAGAATAAAGAGAGCTGAACCAACATATCCCGGGGTAAGAGCCTCTTTTGGAAATCTTTGCCATCTCCTGATATTCCTCCCCTCACAGCCTCTGATCTCTGAGCTAGCCTGATTATTCGGGGGGCTGTGTGAGGGGGGGAATGTCAGACGAGATGATCCACTGCCTTATTACCAGGGAGGAACCTTCCTTTCTACCTGCCTACATTATGTGTTACAGTGGGATTTATACACACTCATTTACAGAAGGATATGCTTTTACTGCAGCTTGCCCTGTCCTATGGCTGCTTTTCCTGTCCTACTCTTCAGAAGGCAGGGATTGTTGAGCTTTAGGTGTTCTTTAAATCATGTGGTATTTACCTGTTTGTAATTACATTGATCATTTGCATTTATTTACACTTTTTCATCAACTTCTCTAGTTATATATATTGTTTTAGAGAATGAATTGCACATGAATTGGATTTTATAGCTAGATAGGAGAGCTTGGCTGCCTTTGTCTGTGGGTAGGTGGCCATTGTGCAGTAACATAATTTACCACTTCCTCTGATAAAATATTTTATTACGTCTGCTACCCATAGAAGAGGAGGAACTGAGGGATCAGCTGATGGCATACTGTGAAAAATGTTCACATTTTTTTAAATGGTTTGCTTGTTTGTTTGTTTTTAATAAAAATGCAAAGCTTGCAGTTCAAAAAATATCTGAGTAAAAGGTTAATTTAATCTTAAATCCACAAGGTTAAGTTGTTCTTAAACGAGTTTCTTCATTTTTATAAAATGAAGAAATTTATAAAATTTCTTACATGCTTTCAGCTAATGTAATGGCTGCACCCCAGAACTGCACCCTTGGACTGCTAGTGAGCCTGGGGTTGCTGTGGTGTCAGAACAGATGCACAAATGGATGCTGTCAGTTTTTTGAGATCAAAGCCTGAAGTGAAGGGAATTTAATCATTATGGGAGGAAATTTCTTTCTTTTTTTTCCAGATGAATCATAGTGCTCATCCCTCTACTTATTAAATAACAGTTCAAGTAAAAAATATCAGGAAGATAATTTTCTATATTTAGAATGAAATTTACATGGTACGAGGAACCCCGATGCAGCTGAGGACATTTTCAACTAAATTAGGCCATGAGACAAGCAGGGTTTTCATCCAGGATTCCTTCTGCTGTAGGCTGTCAAAGCACTATTTACGGGAATGTAATGGGCAGGCTTTGCAAGGAAAAGGGAGCTGAACAGAGCAGTATTCACCAGCCAGACTTCCTTCTTTGCAAGTGAGTAGTGAGCCAGGGAGCACTGAGGCATGGGACTCGAGAAAAATGGTAGGCAACACTGCTGGCTGGTGGTTCTCAGCTACAGGAGGGGTCCTTTGGGCACACAGCCAGGATGTAGAAGATCTGTGCTGGGAGCTGCTCAGATCCATGGCAGAGCACACAATCTGGGAGGTTGTGGAAGTGGAACACAGCCATTTCCATTAAATATCCTCTCTTAAAAAGCAGTAATCCCAGGTCACCAGACTTGGAGAAATGAGAGGTGCTGGAACAAGTCCAGAGAAGGGCAACAAAGCTGGTGAAGGGTCTGGAGCACAACTCCAATGAGGACCATGAGGGAACTCGGGGAGTTTAGCCTGGAGAAGAGGAGGCTCAGAGGTGACCTTATCACTCTCTACAACTGCCTGAAAGGAGGATGCAGCCAGGTGGGGGTTGGGGTCTTCTCCCAGCCAGCTGGAGACAGGACGAGAGGACATGGCCTCCAGCTGCACCAGGGGAGGTGCAGGCTGGACATCAGGAGGAATTTCTTCACCGAAAGGGTTGTTAAGCATTGGAATGAATTTCCCAGGGAAGTGGTGGAGTCACCATCCTTGGAGGTGCTTAAGAAACAGCTGGAGATGGTACTTCATGCCATGATCTACCTGGTCAAGGCTGGACTTGATGATCTTAGAGGTCTTTTCCAATGTTTATTATTCTGTTGTTCTGTATTAGTGTCAGCCAGAGACTGAAACTGCTTCCCTCAGTGGGGCTGTGGGACTTAGGTGTGAGAGATCAAACACTGACAACCTCTGCTGTACACAGTCTGAAAGTTCTCAGTCTCTTGCAGTTTCTGCTTCTAGGTCTGTGCCAGAGTAATCCATCTTGTTTTTTCCAGATTGCTAAGAATTTGCTGCCATCAGCTGTAATTCCCAAATCCGGCTATGTTAAACATCCCATGAATTAAAAATACCTAAAAGTTCCTAACCAGAATGTTGCAGAGCAGTGCTTTTCTCAGTGCAAATTCCAAACTTGAGTACTTTCATCCTCATGCTGTGTACAGTTAGAACAGTAAAAAGGAATGCACATAGGTGTTGTAAGCAGTAATAACTATTAACTTCTCATTATCAAGTCCTGGAATTCCAGTTGCTGTATTTCCATTTTTACTGATTACTTTCAATTCCCTCAACAAAACCTGTACAATTACTGCTTTTCATTTTGTTTTCCTTCCTGCTTAATTCTGAGCCTGGCTTTATCCTTCTGTCTCCCTAAGATGTGGAACAGCTCTAAATCAAGCATGTAACATTGCACTTAAATGACGTGAAGATGGCTTTGTCTGTTTCTCCAGGTGGCTTAATAAATAGAGATCTTTGGTCCCTTAGATATTTATCACAGTTGTAACCACTGTTTCTCCAGTCTTCAGTATGAAATCTGTTGTAAGTCATAGTTAATTTACATTAGCCTCCACAGATGTTGATTCCTCAAGATTGCCGTCTTCCAAGCTCATCATTGAATGTCAGAAGGTACAGACAGTTCAACCGAAAGGGCTGTTGATACTGACTCATCTTTATTCAAATATTTTTTGCTCATCCTTGAATGTTTCAAGCACATGCAGCTCTGCTCAGTTCATGTAGTTTGTGGTGGTGTTCAGGATACACATGCATATTGTATACACATTTCAGCATATTTGGAGCTTTCAGTGAGGGCTGAGTATGAAAGTAATTATTTGTTGTAGAATTGAGTGTATATACAACTTAGGTAGGAACCTTTGTGGTAGTGCTAAATGAGCTAGCTGAGATACTGATATGAATAAAGAATTTTTCTAAGATTTACTAAATCCTAAATCTTCTTGAGTGTTATCTGGCAGCCACACTGTTCATATGCCTTTCCTGACCCTTAACTCTGTATTTCCTTTATTCTCATGGAGAAGAACTTCAACTTTTATTATCATCATTGGTTTAACCTCTTTTTTTTTTCTTTTTTTTTTTTTTACTAACCAAGTACTGACTCAATACACTTGGGAAGTCTGAGGAGGAAAATCTCCCCATTTCAACCTGTTATTCAATCTGTCTTCCTTCTGATAAACCCTTTAGGGAGTGTCTGTGTCACATCAAAGTTTCCAGTTTCTCCTACACATTGCTCCTGAGGCGTGTCCCAGCACTGACAGCACCTCTTCAGGTAGATACAACAGCAAGGTGTGGCTGGCAGCAGAGATGGGAGCCTCAGCACAGCTCCCCAGTCCTTAGCTCTGCTAATGACTAACTAGGATGTAGCCCTTAAGCAAGTCTCCATGTGTCTTTGTGCATCTTTTTTACCTTCTAGTAGGATAGGGATGGTAGTGCCAACCTGGCACTTCCAAAGCACTTCAACAGCTACTGTGTGAATGGTTTTTGTGCCAGTGCTGTAAAATATCAATTTAAATGACTGTTAAAGGAGAAACATTGGTTTTCCTTTTACATAGAAAGCACATGGCCAGATCTTGCTAAAGATACTTTAAGTCTTAACGAAAAATAAGCTACAAGAGACTTTACTAAGAGACTTCAATACTAAGAGACTTCAATAAAAGACTAAGAGACTTCAATAAAAACCTTTTCTTTGTAATGGAATACAGAAGTAACATAATTGCCCTCTTAACAGGTGAATTATTTCACTCCTTCTTTCTGCTTCGTTGCCTGCTACAGAAAGGTATAGGCCATCTGGAAAACAAGCCCATCAAACTCATTATTTATCACAGTTGGGTATTTAATTTTACTAAGTAAATTATTTCTATATTTATCAGAAACTAATAAAAAAGCAAATTTTACTTTGTATTATCCAACACAAGTAGCTACCACATCTGCTGAATTTCAGTAGTAGTGAACATGCAAATCTAAGTGCAAAAGGAAATCACAGCTTTACTTTCTGGTGAAACAAAGAAAGCAAAACCTTACTGTGTAATTTGGAGGCAAAACTCTGAAATGCATTTTCATTCCTATATTCAATTTTAAAAAGGAATGATGGAGGTCCAAACTTAGAAAGCTACCTGTCCCAACATGCTATTTCTTTCTCCTCAATTCTTTTTGCACAGCTTATGCATATGTACAACACAAGAGCTGAGATGAAAAGCATTTTTTTTACTGAAACCTTTATCATTGTCAAAATGGCATTTTTGAATGTATAAAGCAATCTTTGCAGACCACACACACAAGAAGTATACAAATAATTTCAATTGGAATAATTGTAATCTAGAATACAATAATGCTTTATCTGTTTGACACTGATGAATTAAATAATGTAGCAGTATACACAGTGATGGATTCTTAGGAGACAGTAAAAAATCTTTAGGCATAATGAGAGCCATTTCATTGGGATTTTCCTAGTGCCCCCAGATTGGCTTCATTTCTTTTTTCAGATTTTCATTCAGTTATGATCTCTGAAAAAAATTTTGAATGTCCTACAGACAGGGTGTTAGGTGTTTCTATTCAACAGCAGTGAATTTTAAGGGATTTTTAAACGTAGAATTTCCACTTTGAACTCCTTTTGTGTTTAAAAATAAAATAGGGAAGATATGCCTGTTCTCTCAAACAAATAGAAAGACAGATAACTCCAGGTGGCCCATTTGAAATGCAGCAAGGTAGCAACAGCCTATATTAAGAGCCCAGTCAAGCCTGCTGTACCTATTGAAATCAAGAAATCTTACTTATATTTAATACAGGTTACTGAAATTAATTTATTGTGTCTAAAATTCATTGTTTAACATGTATTATCTGTAAACTGGCTTAGAAAAACACCATTGTTCTCTTAGGTGCAAAATGTTAAAAAGATACATGCTCATTCATTACAGAAGAAGCAGTCTGCATTTCAGATAAGAAACTAAAACAATAAATGTAATCATTATCCAACTACAATTAAATTAACATTATTCATTCTGGCTTCTCTGTATACCCATGACCTTTACAAGCCTTTATTTATCACACATAACAAAAAATTTAAGCAGCTAATTTTGCAGGAGTCAACACTGATGCATTACTGGTCATTTCTCATTTTAAATTATTGTGCTACCTTGCCCTTAATTAAAAAGATGTCTGCTGTACATGGGAAGTTTTTATTTCTATCATGTAAAAGGGTTTCTCATGGTCATAGGGAAACAAAATGGTGTTAAAGTTTACTTAACTTCATGTGGAAGTTGATCATATCAGCAAAACACACTTTAGTAATTCACTGGGATCTAGATCCCCAATTCCAACCTCACACTATATTAATTTATGAATAAGGAGATGTTTTTTTCTCATGGACTGTCCTTAGCATATCTGTAATGGGACAAGGGACAAGATCAAACCTCACTGGATAATGCAAGATACCTTAGACAATGGGTTCACTGTGCTGGGACTTCATTCACCACCCCATATGTGTCTCCATGACCCACCTCTGCCATTGGTGTTCTGCTGCTGTGCAACACTTCTCCTTCATCATGAAGGAATTGCTGTTGCCATTAACATTTCCTGTCTGAAGCTGAAGGGAAGGAGACCAAGTTCACTGGGTGACCATATCTGTGGTCTCTTGTCCCTCCAGGGCCAGTTCTGTGGTCTTCCTGGGCATGAGGAACCCTGCACTCTGTTGTCTCTGTGCCAAACAACCTATGAACCCAAGCAGCCCTGTATCTTAGCACTGCCAGAACTGCATATAGATTTTCAGCAAGCAAATACCCAAGATATTTTTCTAGGTATCTATGTGCCAGCCAATGTAATCTGCAAGTCAGTGTCTAACTCTGAACTGGGAGACTGCCAGGGGACAATAGTTCCATTTTGTGTTAAAATCTTGATTTCATTTCTATTAGAGTGAAGGCATTTTTCACATGTTTGCAGAAAGTTTTTTTGCAGAAATAAGAGACCAGAATTTGAGTACATTAACATAGACTACATTGGATGTGATGGACATTGTCATGCTGTGTTGCCCAGTAGCACATTATTTGGCTTGAAATGAAAAGCCTTAGCAGGAGACCTGGAGGAAAATCTTCACTGTGATAAAGTAGAGGACAACCTCTGAAACAGAGGCCTAATGCTAGTTCCCTCATTCAGCACCTTAAAGATTTACTTGAGTCTGAAAAAACATCACCTCTGCCACACAGGTCCCCATTACGAGGCTGTGGCCTCACAGTAGCCATTACCCTCCAAAGCCCTTTTCTGAATGTGGAGCATCAGCCCTTTTCAGAAAGAGAGGCCTGTACCAGGGAGACTTCTGGGCTGCTCCAGCCTGGCATTCACTATGTGGCGTTTGTCCCTGTGGGAAGTCAGGACTCAAATGGATAAACCCATTCTCTGCTGATGAAAATGTCCAAACTAGTTGCTTACTTGAATTACTGCAAGCAGTAAAAGTGGCTGTGTGTATTTTTTTCTCCATTTGGTGAAATTCTCTCCTGTTTTTCCAAAGGCCTCTAGTTCTGGGAAGAAATAAACATTGCTGTCTTCTGCTTTTTTACAGTTGTGGCCAAAGTAGAAGAGTCTCGCCCAATGCAGAGACCCCCCAGAAGGCCACGGAAGCCCAAGACATTAAATAATCCAGAAGACTCCACCTACTACACTCTAATACATGTGAGTTTAAGAAGCTCTCCTGGACTAAAACTGTCAGATAATTCCCACCTAAACTCTCTTTCTAATTGCCCAATTCCCATTATTCTTTTCAAATGCAGCATAAAAGCTGTGTTGTGCTGAAAGGAGGCAGGCCACAAACCTCAAATTTCAAACAAGACTTGAAATGGAAGTACAGAGTTACCCAGACTGGGGAGCTATGCCAGACTAGTATTTATTTTTGCACCTAATCACACTTTCATTATGGGCATAAGTAGCATTTGCATTTTCAATACACAAATCTAGTGCCCTGTCTCCATAGTTTCTTTGTAAGTCACAGGAGAGAACCAGGAGAGGCACAGGTTTGTTTGGAGCTATTTTGAGCATCTAAATTAGTACTTGATCTTGCAGAGAGAGCAAATACTAAAATAAATTGTATTAGTATGCACACTGTAACTTCCTTTACAAATGTGTCAGATTGTGATTATGAAGGCACTGGCAAATACCAACAGCTCAGGAGACTAATGGATTTGAGTGTCGCTATATATAGCCTTCGGTCCAAGTTCAGATACCAAGTGCTGCTTTCCCCTCTTGACTTCAGTGCCCTTAAACATAGGAAAAAAGGCAAGAAAGTAAGCAGAAAGAATGAAAATGTAAAAGCAGCTCAGAAAGCACTTCCAACAAAAAAAGCAATTAAACTGATTTGCTCGAGGTGCCTGTATCTTAGTGACCTATTTTAACAGCCGGTGAGAACCCAGCTAATAAACTAACCGTAGCAATTGCTTCTCCTTTCAACAGAAGGTGTCACCAGGGCCTGTAGGGACAGTTGTGTCTGGCATACCAAAAAAAGACAAATACAGCTATGTTTTATTCTGGGACTTTGAAATAGCACAGCTTTGGAACAGTGATATTCTGAAAAGAAATTACATTCTTTTTAAAAAATTTGCATGTAAGAATCAAATTTGTTTTGTGGACTGAAATGAAAGGCCTGACACAGAATCTGTATATGGAAATTTCTGAGAAGCACAATTCTGAAGTAAATGCTTATTTAGGAAACTAAACACTATAAGGTCAGGAATATATTATTTTCTGAGGGCTAATTTGTTACATAGCCAGCTCTGTACGAGAAAACAGCCACAGCATCAGTGCAAACAAAAACTGCAGTAGTGCCAGGAGATTTTTAATCAATTTTTTAGCAACAGCTTTTCAAGGTATTAATCAATATTACATTCAATGAGTTGTATTTTCAAGAAGGTGTGAAAAAGAGAAACCTGTCTTCCTGACATGTAGTTCACTGTTCAGGGAAAGGTTCAACATAAATATCTATACACTGAAGCTTAGAAAGGAGACCTACTAGTTGCTAAATTCTTAGACCTTGGGTAAGTCATTAAGCTCTAACTTTAGATGGTAGTCAGCTTTAGAGGGCAGTCAGCTTTCCCAGATGTTACAGATTTTCTACCTTATTAAAAATCTCTGTGACCTTCAGGCATTCACAGATTATTATCAAGCCCAGATCATATGAAAGTGAAGAAATGCTTTTCTTGAGTGCATTAAAAAAATATATATATGAGTGCATTTTTTTAAAAAAATTCTCTATCGTTTGAAAAACCAGATATTTCTCTCACATCATGCTACAGACATTAATTAGACATCTTACATTCTCACACATCTCCTTGCCTATCAGATGACTTGCAGGGGTATGCAAGTATAAATGAAGCCTGACAATAGCCCATTATTTATATAAGGCATGAAAATTTTATTTTAGGGTATATTTCTTTAAATCATTCTATCATTTTGGAATTATATGTCATGTTCATTTGCCTGCATACTGAAGTCCATTAGGATTTCTGATTCTCAGTGACTTTACAGTCCCTAGTTCTAATACACTTTCATTCATTTGCAGGAAACACAATTAAGACCACAATCTGCAGTAAAAAATGCTGCCTTTGAAGTATGATGTGTTAGGTGCTGCAACATAGCATTGTTTTTGCTGTAGGGATAGAACTCTATTAGAGATAAGAAATTATTCACATTCCTTATAAATCTTCTCTCCTCTGCATTTTTAGAAATCTTGTATCCTAAAGGTTCTTTTGTCACTTATTATATTGTTTTCAAATGGGGCCTTTGTCCATTTTATTCTACTAAACCTGTGTGAAGACTATGTTGGCATTAATGAGAATAGGATTATAACTCTTCCCACTGCATTGCTTCTATTAATGGAAACTCTTCTGGCATCACAGTAAATATGCCTCAGTGAGATAGTGTTGTCAACTTCATTAAAACAGCTATAGCTATTTGAAAGTTTTAGATCTCCTTTTTCTGTTCTGATCATCAGAACTTTGGCTTTTTTTTTCACAGTATGGCAACAAATTTGGGAGCAACAACATTCGCAGTCTCAAAGGTTCTTAAAAGAGGGTTTTCTGGGTCATTTGCCCATTTTCTATAATTTCTTTTACTTAAAAATATACAACACTCTCCTACCTAACACTGATGAATTGTAAATTTGCATGAGCTTTCCTTTCAGTATTTTTAATTACTTTTTCTTTCTTAGAAATCAATACAAGATGAAAAACGGAAACCAAGGAAAGAAAGGTAATGTTTTTTTCATTATCTCACTATTGTCACTCCAGTACTCTAGAACAGTTTTTAGCTGTACTTCAACCAGGAGAATAAAGCATTGAAAAAAGAATGGTAATTTGGTGATTCACAGGGGGACATGTATACATGTAAAGTTAAAATGCAATTTTCATTGACTAAAATCCATTATAGAATTTAGCCATTCAGTTTTCCTAAAACATGGTCCTTTACCATGGTAACACAGGCATTATAATGAGATAAGGTCCACATCAAAGATAGTTCTGACACAGAAAATAATTGAAGGTGCTTAAAATTCTAGTCAAAGCAAATGAGTAACCAGTCCTTTTTTGTCAGCAAAAATACAAAGACTGTCAAAATTTTCTCCTAAAAATATATGAGTGTCTGGAAATAGATAATAAAAAAAATAAAACAATAACTATGAATAACAGCTAAAGAAGAGTAGCCCTTGAAATTTGAACCAGAAGTGTTTTCTTCCCAGTGCAACTAACCTATTTTGATGGATCTCTGCAGAAAAGAAGGAATGATGTCCTTCTGTATCTTAGATCCTTATGTGTGCTGCAGACCGGGTTGGCAGCTCCTGACATACATCATAGCTTTATTTTATTTGTGTTTCAATACTGAAGCTTTCCTGCTGCCCCCTCAGTGGCACTGCTGTGGCACCATGTGTGCAATGGCAACCTGCTCATAGCTGCCAGATGAATGGGCTCTCTGCACTGTCCTCAATACAAACTTGCAGAATACAAATTCCATGGCTAAAATATGTATCTGAGAGGATGTTGCATGACATTACATTTATTTAAAATATGCTCACAGCATTGAGCATCATTCAACCACAGTTTAGATTGCACTTGATTATGCTGCAGCTTAAAGGACTGACCTTATGTTCGTGTCCCCCATGTTTGGTCTCTTTCAGCTTTTTTTCTCATGTCATTTGGATCCTAAAAAAATTTCACACCTATTGACTCCAGTCTAGGGGAAAAAATAACTAATACACCAAAACCTAGTGTTTTCTCTCATTGGTGTCAATTAGGTTTCACTCATCTTAAATCTAGTTAACCATTTCTCTGACTGCATCTTCTCTCATGTGCCAACTCTGTATTAGTGGAACATAGCAAGTAAAATCAATTAATTACTTCTGGTTTCTAACAACATGAGGACTGAATTCTGAACTTCTCTATTCTGTTTCTTTTTAGGATATTATTTCTTTCCTTAACCATTCTAAAATGGATGTTGGGATTGATTTTTTTTCTGTATGTATAATACCTTGGGTAGCATTCACCTAACAAAATAAGAGATATCTGCATAATTGACACACATATCTGAACTAGTTGCTTCAGACCTCTACTCAGAGAAAAAAGTAGTCGTATTTAGGAAAATTATTCATCTCTTTCTCAAAGAGATATCTAAAATAGATCAGATTATTATACCATAAAAACGCCTCTCCACTGACTCTAATGGCAAGCCCCAAAAATTTCAGTCATGTCTCCTTTATGAATATATAAAAGTACTTAGCATTTCAAAATTCTCAATATCTATGTTGTACAGCAGTCACACTTCAGAGACTGATTTTTTTGTGCCTATATATATTTTTCCTTAGATCCTCAACACATAAACAGAATAATGATATTTGGCTGCCTTGGGTTTGTATGCTGAAAATAATATTGAAAAGTGAAACTGTTAACTTAGTGTTCTTATTTATTGACAGTCTGAGCAAAGTGCTAGATTTAGATATCTACTACCAAGAAATTTCATCTACTGACTCCAGCTCCAAGGACAGCAGCACTACCACAAGAAGGAAGCGATACCCAATTGAGCGCAGGACTTCCATTTTACGAGCTACTGAGCGGTAATTCATACAAAATAGTAATAGGAAAAAATGCATATTATCCTTGTTGACATATTCAAAATATTAATGAAAATAAATGTACTTTCAAATTACACATAAATCTATTACTTTAGAGATGAAATTTTACCAAACTACCTTGCAAAACATTTAGCTAAAATTTCCCATATCAAAATGGGAATATCTGACATATTCCTCATGCAAGAGGGATAAATTCCAGTGTGATTGGTGCTCAGCCTACCTGCCAGTTTTTTGTTTCAAGGGCCAGATGAACAGACATTCTGCATCTCTGATCTAAAATAAAATTAAACTGAGGCAGAACCTAAAAACTGTATTTCTGATTTGTTAGATTTTAAACAGGGTGGATGTGCACCAGACTTTCTGCATGTTTTCTGCAGGTAGGACTCCAGCTTGACTGCCTCCTTCTCCTACTGTCCTGTAGCAGCACAGTTGTCTGTAGCCTCGCTAAGGTGGACAGCCAGGAGAAAAACCCCAAAGGGAGCATTTGCTCAACCTCCTTTCTTCCCACGTAGACTTCAATAGAGGGTGACCACTGCCAGGCTAAGGAAATTTATATTCTCACTCTTGCCAGTGCACTCACACACACTGCACATACAAACGCACACTATGTATCTTAATATAATTGTATCTTCTTGCATGTTCCTAAGTGTAAGAAAAACTTCAAAAACTATCTAGGTCCAAGTCTTAAGGGAAATGCTAAGCCAGGGATGAATACTGAATTTGAAAATGCATCTGTAGTAATAGAGGAAATGTTTGTAGAACATTCCAAATGTAGAATATTTTGTGCACCTTACATATTTCATTTCTGGCCTTTTTTTCACGTATGATCTAAATTAAAAGTGTAATTAAAAGTAATAATGTCAGGGAATTACCATATAGTTTACAACCATGAGAAAATGTTGCATTTCTAAGGTGGTTAATTACACCAAATCAAATCCGTCACCCTGAGGTCTGGCTTAGGTGAGTGAGTTTTGCTACTGAGCAAATTTCTTTACTGTTTGCTGTTCTAATTGCAGCCATAGTGAAACAAAATTTATGTAACTTCTGAATTTAGAGTTACCTCAGAGGGCAGATGAATGCAATTAATAAACATTTCTGCACTTCAGGATCTCTTGAATAGGGTCACCAGGACTGTAAAACCAATGACTGTACAGACATCTCAAACTACTTCAAGAAGTGAAGCATTGAGTACTTTTTATTTAGCAGTTTACCTTTGACATTGGATAAGGACCAGTGGTGGGGACACCTTACATGTAGAACACTACAAATTTTGTAATTATTTCAGAGTAATTTACTGTTTAAATAACTGACTTTTCTTTTTAATCTTGTTACATGGTAACAGCTGATTCCACATCACTATTCCAGCTTGTCAGAGGTGGCATTCAAAATGCATCTTGCCATCTGAAAATAAAATGAAATTAGATGGACGCTTACAGTGAACTCCACAGGCAGGTTAAATACAGAGCAAACAAATTTATGCCAACTGAAAATCTGGTGCAGTAACCATCAGGCAAATGCTTCTGCAAAGCATCCCCATGCTCTTAATGTTTTTATGTCCTTTCATTATGTCCCCTTCATAGGAGAACATGTTGTTCTTCTGCGTTCATCTGCTTCTAGCATATAATGTGTTTGTTCCGAGGTGCCTGTTTTGTGCAGCACAGGAAGAGGCCTAGCAAAGTCAGCTGATTTTTTTTCTTTCTCCTTTTATTTTTCCCTCACAAGGGTGGAGGTTAAGCAGTCGATTAGGAGTGTTTGCCAAGGTAAATGTTTTGACTTTAATTTCTAAAACACTTCTGTGCTTAATCCCTAGGTCGAGGGTTGCAGAAAGACCCCTGGAAGAGAGCAAAGCCGAAGATAATCCCTATGACTACAGACGACTGCTGCGGAAGACCTCACAGCGCCGGCGCCTTATCCAGCAGTTCTAGCTGCTGCTGCTGCTCCTGCTGCCATTTGGCTTTTATTAGCATAATTTTTTTTATCATTTTATACCATGTGTTTCCTTTTTTTTTTTTAATCTTCAGTGTTTCAAGTTAATGTGTGTGTTCATATGAATATTAATTACTATGGTTTACATCCCAAGACCATTGCAAAGGGACACTGTCAGTCACATATCCTATTCTTACCTAATATAAAAATCAGCTTTCTTTTGTGTACCATTGCTACATCCTAAAATTATTAAACAGCTTAAGTCTAGTTTACTTTCCTCAGTGCATATTTCTGTTTTTCCACTTCATCAGTCTCATCCAATCAAAATAATAATTTACTTTATAGTTCCCTAGTTAAGCTTTCTAATTTCTATTCACCTTCAGAAAACCTTAGTTATTGTTTCTAATAAATTGTTCTACAGGTGAAAAAAATGACAAGAGCACCATGGGGGAATTTCTGCTTATTTTAGTTTACATTGCTTAAATTTTGGGATGACCTGTTTGTGGCAAGTGTCCCTTTAATGAAAATGTATACAATTAATTGAATAGCATACTAGGGCAATTTATTTCATTATTGACTTTACTGTAAAGCTAGTAGCCAGTTTTAAAGGTCAATATTGTGTGTATAATCTTTATGTTGGAGATGTCCATTTATGGGAAGTATGTCCAGCCCTCTCCTCTGCCTCTGAGCTTTGTGACTAAGTGATGAACTTCTAAATCATGTTTGCTTTGTTCTCATTTGCATTAGATTTTTAGGAATCTTAATCTCTGGGGTACCAAGAAAGGAATAGAAATACACTCTCTGGTTGATTGCTGCTGAAATGTAATGATCATTCGTAATCAGTTCCACTAGAAATTAAATTAAAATAAAGGCAATAGCCACAGTGTTCAAATTTCCCCCTGATTCCGTATTCAAAAGACCTTATTTCACAGAAACCACACAGATAATTGCAGCGCTTCCTTTCAGGATTCATAATTGCGTGTTCCCAGCTGCAAAGCAAGAGAAAGCAAATTTCATGATGCCAGCATAAAGGCCTGATTCTACTCCGTTCCTCAGCTCTCCTAAATGTGACAATTGGCGGCAGCAGTCAGCCACAGGGGCTGGGTTTTGTCCATTCCCCACGCACATTTGGCCTTTTCCCCAGAGACAGATAACCATTGCTTCCTGATCTGTAACTCGTTACAAGGCCGTGCACCGGATTAAAACATACTGCAATGTAAAATTTGCTATAAATTGTTAAAATTTTGAAATCTGTTCCAAAGTTGTTTTTTCATGTATTAATAAAATGATAAATAAAAATGTTCAAAGCAGTGATACAGTTGATTGTGTCTGAATTACATCTGGAACCAACAAAACACTGTGGACTGGGGCATGAGTGAGCAAGGCAGGGAAGGGCTTGCAGCAGCCTCTGGCCGTGGAAAGCTGGAATTATTGTCTACATGCAAGCCAGTGTGATGCGGCAACTGGAACAGACATTTCACATGAAGAGATACCTGGACTGGTTTTCTTCTGCTTTCCCACCACAGCAGTGTTTTAAAGCATTGAGCCATTTCTGTGAGGTCTCATGGTAGGCACTTCTCATAACCATGTGGGTACCTACAGAAAGCAGAGAGATGCCCCGAGCTGAACACGGGGCCTGGCTGCGAGTGGCGTGGGGGCCCTGCTTGACCAGCCGTCTCGGCAGAGCCACATTCTCACCTGGTGTGGTCCTGCCTGCCCCCCTCCAAGGCCAGGGTTTGAAATCCCTCCTGTGTCAGAGAGGCAGCCGCGGCACGGAAACTCTCCCGCGAAGACCCGTCTGGGTGAAAAAGGGAGGTTTGGTTGCCTTCAGAGACGTCATGAAGGGAATGGGAACAGTTGTCGCGCTCTTCCCGTCTGGCCGCCGGGCCCTCTACCTCCTCGGGGCTGGAGCCAGGATGGCGGCTCCTCCAGGGTCCCCAAATGGGAATGTTGCGGGAAGCCCCCGGGAGCTCCCCGGGGCTGCAGGGACACGCGGGGGCAGCCGCGGCGTTGCGCAAGGCTCCTCCAGCACGTCCCTAGGAGCCAGGACGCCCCTGCCTGCCCGGGAGCAGGAGGGACAGCGGGAGCCCAGCCCGCTGCGGGCCCTCCACCAGCGCCTTTTCCGCGGCGGCCCGGCCCGACGGGGCTCCCGCCGGAGGCTGCGGGCCGGGCCGGCTGCGGGCCGGGCCGATGGGACGGCTCGGGGGTGTCTGTTCCCCACCCGGGGCCGCCGGCGGCACGGGCTGGCCCGGCCTCGGCGCCGCCGCCCAGCAGCGCCCGGCTCGCCAGGGCGGAGGTGCCCCGGTGCAAAAGTGGGACGTGTGGCGGGGAGATTTCCCTTCGCTTTGCATCTTAAAGGACTGAGAACGTTTCCCCGTAGTCTCAACTTTCCCCTCGAGGTACCAGTCTGGACCACCGCAGCCGCCCATGCCAGGGCTTGGAATACTGCCATTCCACTCCGCTCAGCGGCACCGGGCGGCTCAGCCCTCTCCGCCCGCCCCGCCGCTGGACCGTCGGTCGGGTGAAGACGGCACAGGCACCCTGGCTCGCCTTCGCCCCCCAGGGCAGCTGCAGCCCCAGCTCAAGCGGCGCCGATAGCTCGGATCTGCCCCGAGCGCTACCGTTCTCCCACCGCCGCCCCCCACTCCTCGGCTGCAGCGGGGTGCGGACACGCCTTAGAACGGCCGACGCCGTCGCCGCTGGCCGCCTCAGCGGGCACCTCTTCCCGTGGGGCCGCCCGCCCCGTCCCGGGCAGCAGCGGCTGCGGGGCGCGGCCGCAGCAGCTCGGCGGAGCGCGCCCCGGGGGCGCCCACGGGAGACGCTCCCACCCACGCGTGCCCGGGGCGCTCCCGCCCCTTCGCCTGCCGCCGCCTGGCGCAGCCGCGCGCACTTACACACCCGCACACTCACACTCACGCACACTCGCTCGGGCCGCCTGGGCTGCAGATCGCCGCTGCTCGCCCGCCCCGCCGGTTCGCCTCCGCCATGGCAAGCCCCGGCTCCGGCTTCTGGTCCTTCGGAGCCGAGGAGGGCTCCGCAGCCGCCGAGACCCCCGGCACAGGTAGGAGGACGCCGAGCGGCCGGGCGGGACCGGCCCGACGGAGCCGCCGTGACAGCGCTGCCCGGTCGCCGGAGCCCCTTTGTGACAGCTCGACCGGCGGGACGAAGCGGTGCGATGCGGGCGGCGGGGACCGACGGCGACTCGAGCCCGGGCCAGCGCTGCGGGGCTCCGCGGGGCAGGCGGTTCCTGGGGAGCCGGGCCGGGGGTCGGGCGAGACGCCCTCAGCCCACTCCCGCCCCACGGACCCTCCCCTCGATTTTCTCTTACAGCAAGAGCTTGGTGTCAGGTTGCCCAGAAGTTCACGGGAGGGATCGGAAACAAACTCTGTGGTAAGGGCAGGGAGGCCCCGGTAGCCCGCGGCGGGGGCGCGGCTGCGCGCCCACGGAGCGCCGCGGGACCTGCCCCGGGCCGGGGGGGGCGGGGGACGAGGGTCGATGCCCCGGTAATGAGGCCGTTTGTCCGTGTCGCTGTCAAGCCCTGCTCTACGGAGATGCCGAGAAGACCGTGGAAACCGGCGCCCGGGCAGCAGCCCCGGGGGTAGCGGAGCCGAGGCCGACCTGCACCTGCGACAAAAAGCCCTGCGGTTGTCAAAAAGCGGACGTGAATTACGCCTTTCTGCACTCAACAGGTAACGGCGCTCCCGGGGCACGCTGCTTCTTTAAAACTAACCAGAAAAAAACAGCGGTTCGGTCCGAAAATCGCCCCCGCCAGCGTTGCGCGGAGGCGTGGGGGGCCCGAAGGTGCGCGGCGGAGCTCTGCGCCCTCAGCCCTGGCCCCCGCCGGGCATTTCTCAAATCTGCGAAAAATCACGCAAACAACAAAAAATCCCGAAAAGAAAAACCCAAATTAGTAAAATCTCGCGTATTGGAGCCCGCAGCTTTTTCCTTCTAAGGAGCACTGAAAGCATCGACTTTCTCATTGAAGACCCTGCGATGTAATTAAGGTTTGAGGGGAGGAGGAAGACAGAGCTCTCTCCTACTCATTTGCTTTAATTCCAGATATTTTTGCAGTTCATCTTTTCTGACCTTGGAGGTATCGTCTCCTCCAGTGAATAGGTCCCAGCTCCCCGCTGACATACACTAGCCAAGGACTCTCCCGTTTGCTCGGCAGCCCAGGACCCCAAATTAGGGGCTTCCACTATAGTCTCGTTTTGACTGAGCCATCGCTCTTAAACAAAAGCTTTCTGCACACCAAGACCCCGTGTAGTATTGCCTCAGAAAATTATCAACAAGTCACTTGCCTGGGAGAGTCACCAAGAAGGTATTTTATTGCAAGGCAAATGACAGTTTTAAAGGTGCTGCTTGTAGCATTTGTTGCTCAATCTTTATTTCCTGTGAGATTTGTTTTCCCTTTTGTCTTGTTTCCCTGCTCTCACTGTCTTAAAAATTAGTCTGAAATATACTGTGGACAGAATTGGCCAATTTAGATAAGATATTAAATCTTGTTATGTTTAAGAACATTCCTCAAAATACAACCTTGCCAATTTGTTTATTAAATGAAAACAAAACCTGCTTTTATTGACTGCAGTGTAAAGATTTTGTAAACATAAATGGGAGAAGGCTTTGTTCAGAATCTATGCTTGTGGTCATAAAACGAAGTTAACTTCTAAATTTGTCCATTCCCAGATCTTCTGCCGACATGCAATGGAGAAATAACTACTATGTCTTTCCTGCAAGACGTTGTGGACATTTTACTTCAGTATGTGGTGAAAAGTTTTGATAGATCAACAAAAGTTATTGATTTCCATTACCCAAATGAGCTGCTCCAGGAATATAACTGGGAACTGGCGGACCAGCCACAGACCTTGGAAGAAATTTTATTGAACTGCAGAACAACCCTGAAGTATGCAATTAAAACAGGTAATAGCAATGCTCATTTTCTACCCTGTATGGTTTCATCCATTGATTAAAGGTGTCATTTCAATTTAGCTTGAAACGTTAGAGACTGAAGCAGCAACTGTATTTTGTCAGCTCCAAGCAATTTCTAGCAGAGACAGAAATCGTTCTCCAAAATGATAAAGCACTCCAGCAGCTCCATCTCTGTAGCTGTCAGTGCAGCCTCGCACACCCTTTCTGATTTAAAATTAATGCGTCTGTGCGTCGGAGATGGCGAGTGTGCCGCTGAGCAGACTTTGCATCACCTTCCCCACTTTCTGCCGTGCCTTTTCATCATTTCGCGTGTGATGCCCGGCGATTGCCTCTTGCGGGCGCGGAGCTCGGGGCAGAGAGGAGTCCCTGCACTGGGGCAGCAGGGACTCCAGCCCATTTAGCAGCCGAAATCACAGTAAACGGCCTGTAAATTCGAGCTCTGAGAGGCCATTTGCCGTGCCTGTCACTTCGCCTGCAAGACATAAAATAAAAAGAGAATTTAGCAGAATCTTACACAGAAATATCGAGGATTTAATTTCAACTTTAGGCTCAAGCAATAAAACCAAAGTCCGATTTGTTTCAACAGCCATTTGCTGGTTTTCGCTGGGGAAAGCAGGGATGGATTGACTCCTCCCTGGCTGGGATGCCGCGTTAGTCGTGCCCCGCTGTGTGCTTCGTGGAGGGAAGGTAGCGTGGGGCTCACCTAGGCGTGGGGAAGCGCCCGACTCTGCACCGGGGCCACCTTAAGCTGCGGCGGAGCAGGCAGAAAGCGGAGCCGGAGCCGCAATTACGGCTGTCATTGGGAAATAATAAGGGGTCCGGAGAGCTCTTAGTGGGAATTTGAATTACGGAGAAATTGCTTAAAAATAAATGTGAAGCTGTTTACTGAACGAGACAAAGGGCTGATTTGTGACTAGAGGTTGAGAGGAAAACAAAAAAATCTCAGGTTTTGAGAAGAGAACAGAACAGACTGATCCTGGTAAAGATTGTGAGGGATCTGTGTAATCCTCCTCGTTTAGTGGTGGAAATGACCATCAGCATGTTTTGATGAATGGGTCGGGTGCTGTCAAGATGTTTGTAAAATACTAGATTAAATAGTTAGGTGTTAGAGAGGAGCAAAGTCGATCAGTCCAGTGATCTATATGATGTGTCTGGATAGGGCATATGAAACGTATTTGCACAGAAATTATGAAGAATGTGGGATCTGTGATTCTGGGAATTCAAAAAAATAGGGTTTCTTAGCTGATTTTCATTAATCGTTTTGTGTTATAGCCTGTTTTCACGCAACAGACCAATTTAATTTTTGTATCCAAAAAGGACAATTTAAGACAATGTTACCATTTCTCTTCCTCTCTATAAATATCGGAGGCTTTTCCATCTT